ATAAATGTGTTCAGAAAGAAATCAGAGTTCTCTTTCCAAGCTCCACCAAGAGTCCACATATGTGGAGAGAGTTGTGAGGTTTGGTGCAGAGTTCTGGGTGCCCAGGGTCTGGGAGCTTCGGCTTCACTGCTTCTCCAGGGTATCTTGGCTGGAAGCTGTGCTCTGTAAAGGGGCCTGGCCTAAGGCCCAAGAGGAGTCACGCTAGGGGCCCCTGTGGGGAACACCGAGAGCCCCACTGACCGGAGGGGTGACCCTCATTCCCACTCCCGCGGTGGGTGTGCCAAAGCCCTGGGTACCTCCAGCTCTCTGGAGGCCTGAGGTAGGTTTTCTGCGAAAGCCAGATTGGGGCGGGGGGGGGGGCGGCATGTGTCTCAAATTTAAATGCGTTTGGGTGCTTGACAGGTAACTTAAAAACACATGAAGCCGCCAGGTAGAAGAGAAAATACCGGGAACTCTGGAGAACTGGGGAAGGGCATATTGTGACTATTTCAGATTCAGATTTGTAAACTACCGCTGTGCTGGCCGAGCAGCACACCGTACCGGCTGGAGTCCAGGCCAGTTTGCGATCCCCGGAGCCCCGGCCAGTTGGCGATCCTGCGTTTCAGCTGAGTACCCGGCTCTCCCCAGTTGCTTTAACCTGCTGCTGATCCCCAACCTGTCTCCCAGCCACGGAGGCTTGCGTGGCACGGAGGACCTTCCCAAACTTTGGCGCGCATCCTGAGGGCGCAGTGCCCCTCGCCGAGCTCCCAGTACTGCTCCCCAGCACCTCGGCGGTCCAGCAGCCGACCGAACCTCCGAGTGGCTGAGAACCTGTCAGCGGCCACATTTTATTTCTGCCAGAAACTGGGTTGTTGCGGCTGAGACGTCGGGGGACTCGGGCCAGGCGGGGTACCGGGCTGAGGGGCGGGGCCGGCACTGGGTGGGGGGAGCCCTGCCCCGGGTCCCGCCCCGCCTCGCCCCGCCCCCGCGCTCTAGAGTTTCTGCCACAGGCTCTCTCTCTGCACTAGGTCCCGGGACCCCGGAGCGCAGGCCGTGCATCGTCCGGTTTCCTCTGCCGGCGCTCACAGCACCCGCGCGCTGCAGCAAGTCCGGAGTTGTCCCGCAGCCGGGACATCCTCTGCTACCGGCGCCCGCGGACGACCCTGCAGCCGAGGCCGGAGCCGAGGCACCCTCGCCCTGCGCACCCCGGGGTCCTGCGCTGCAGCGCGCGGTCCACCTCCACGCCCTCTTGGCGGGGCGGGGCGGGCCGGGGCAGACAGGACCGGCGCCCCAATTCTGGGCACTGCGCCCGGCGCGGGGTGCGGGATGGAGAGCAAGGCGCTGCTGGCCATCGCGCTGTGGCTCTGCGTGGAGTCTCGGGCTGCCTTTGTGGGTAAGGAGCCCGCTCCCCAGGAGGAAGGCTGAAGGCTGGGTGCGGGCGGGGAGATGGGGATGCGGACAGGACCCGGAGGCCAGACCTCCCTGGGACCTTAGAGCTGGAGAGTTGAAAGTGACCGGACGCTTTGTGTTCCTTCATTGACCAACGAGGCTCAGCGACTGGCCCAAGGTTCCCTAGCAAGTTGGTGGGCTCCTGAGCCCGGTTCCTTTTCCACGACTCTGGTCTCGGACAGGGGCCTCGGCCGGAGGGAGGCGGGGTGGGAAGGCGCCCGAGGCTGGCCGGCAGGAGATGCTCCCGCAGGCGCAGGCGGGGAACGCGGTGGAAGGAGGGCCCCTGCTCGCACCATCCTTGCTCCCGCGCGGGGAAGGGGCCTTGCAGGGAGCACCTTGCACTCAGCTCTGCCTGTGAAAGGGTCAAGCGGTGACGGGGGCTGCTCTTCCCTTTTGGCTCGAACTCGCACACACACTCACTGTATGAGATGCGGGGGGGGGGGGGGGGGGGGGGCATTTGTCCCGTCTTGGTGCAGGACGCCGTTTTCCTCGCAGAGAGAAGAGGGGAAATTGGGGTTTGGACTCGGGACTTTGACAGCTTCCCAAAGTGTCTCCAAGTAACAGTCACTTTCCTATGAAAAACAATTTCAGATCTTTCAAAGCGCTTTGGTCCTTGCGGTAAGCGCATGGTCATTAGTTCACGTTCTGAAAACTGACTCTAGGGGACTCGGTACCTAGATTAAGCACACCTCTCGCTCTCCTTGCCACCAAATATTTAGCTCCTTCCAGATTAGGAACATATACCCTTGATGCAATAAATTCTCTTGCCTTTTTTCTTTCTTTCTTTCTCTCCCCACCCCTTGCCCCTATCTGTTTTCTGTAGCCACAGTTTACTGATTTCCAGATTTGCACTCTTTGGAGGGTGAGAAAGGGGACAGGGTGGAGAAAGTGGGGGGCGGGGGCGGCGGAGAGAGATATCAAATAATTCAGGAAAAAATTCCTTATATAAAAAGAAAAGACTCGGGTGTTTTTTTTAAAAAGACATATAAAGTAACAAGATCATTTGTCTAGTTATTGATTTTTTAAAATGATTTGGTTCATCAGGGCCAGCTCCACCATGGACACTCAGATGTCCATGACAAGCCCTCCCTCTCCCCCTTTATTGGGAGAGAATGAAGGTCTGGAACATGTGGTTTGTTCTGTATCTCACAAAGAAGTGAGTTCCTTTTAAGCCTGGGGTGTTTCATAGCGTAGCAGTAGTCAACTGGTAATCGGGTTGCCCTGAATACAATGATGAGGTTGCCCTTTCAGAGTGTGTGACTTGCTTAATTGGATTGGACTATAATTGGTGCCATCAAGTTCTAGAGACAGAGGCACTGTTGTTTTTCCTTCCTGTCTTTGGAAGGGTAACAGTGCACAAATTAATTAATTTTGGTTATGGGATTTGAACATAGAAGGGCTTTTTATTGAGCAGTAGCATATGTACTGCTTATAGTTATGTCTTTAGAACTTTCTGAAGAGTAGAACTCAAACTTGCCAATGAAGATGAATGAAGCTTAATAGAGAAAAAAATTGAGTGTTGGTCTACAGATATGAGTTGAAAGTTATCATTACGGATAGCCTTGTTGCATAGTTTTTTTTTGTTGTTGTTGATGTGTCCCTAGGAAAGTATAGTGTTGTTTTGGCTTCCCATGAAAAATACTTTAAAAATGTTTTTAACACAGGGAAGTACATCTAACGTGTGAGATAATCTGTTGAAATAATTAATGAAGAGCTTCAAGAATCTCTCATTTTGGTGGTGGGGTGAGCAGAGCTTAGTCTTTACTACCATTATGTTTTCTCTCATATGCATGCGCCTAAATAACGGGTTCTTTCCCATTTGGATCATTGTGCAAATTATATTAAGTTACTGTTTTTGATATGTTTCTCAACTTAGTGTTTACTTATCCAAGTAAATTGTTTTCATTTTCCTTCTTAGACAAAGTGGGACTCCATGATTAGAAGGCTTTTCTTTTACTTTTAAACATTTTGCTTTATTGTTTGTCTTTCATAGTGTAAAGTGCTGTGCGAATTAACTGAACATGACCATCCAAGACCAACAGTTGTCCAAGAGTGACCCATAGATTGTGTATGATTGAGTCACCTCATGTGCTTATTAAAATGCAGACTTGTAGGCCCAGGGACATTCTGACACAACGTAAAGTTCAACAAGCATTGTCTGAAACACAAGTTGGTACCAATGCCAAGTAGTTTATAAGATTTGTTGATATAAGTTGATTTTCAGATTTTTAAAGCTTTTTAAAATTATTTTTTAAGTATGCTACTTGTCAACAAATCTACAGTTATGTCAGCAACCTATTTTGCACATTTGGGTGAGTGTGAGAACATGTGTGATCAGTTGCTCATTTTGCCTGCAGCTATTCACATTGGGATCTATAGATTCAATGCATTGGATATTTGCACTGAATATTTGCTCATACTCTGTTTGCTCATACTCTCTCATATTTGCTTATACCCTCTTATTTGCCCAACGAGGTCAATGCCAGTTTAGGCCGAGAGGTCATTTGTACTTAGTTGATGTGAGTTAACAATCATATTAAGCTTGGGTGCTTATCAAGCATTGATCTCTTGTTAAGGTGGTGTTTTGAAGATCTGGGTATTAGTTAAGACCATAGCATCATGGTCAGTTTTTTTTTCTGATACTCTTTCAAAATCTGGTAGCTGTTTGCATTTAGTTGACAGAGAACTCAGTTTTCTTGCTGTGGAGTAACCTATCCCATGGTGAGGAATATATCCTATGGTATTTTTAAGTAAAGGCAGATTTCTTGTGTTCCAAACTCGGTTTCAGGAGGAACTCAGAACTTTGATTGTTAAGTTGAGATCCCCCAATTGCAATTCATTAACATTACACTTTTTCTAGTCCTATTCTCTGAGGAAAAGTATATTAATAGGCATATTATGTGACATTTTACTCAGTTTCTCTCAACTGGTTTTAATGTAGTCTTTCAACTTTGGCAGTTTAGTTATCAGAAAACTGATAAAGGAAAGTGAGACAAGGTCATGGATATTCCTACCCCCTTCAGGGTACAGATGAACTATATAGAAATCTCTCTAAGCAGTATTTGTTAATCAGCAATTTAGTTGAATGTGTGCATCCTATGTTTTATAAGAAATGTCAGTGGGTCCTTTCCTCAGGGAGTGAGATCATCAGATGAAGGTTCATTGGGTTTCAATGCCCCATATCCTTTTGTAAGACCTTGAAGTTGGCAATGCAGGAAAACAGGAACTCCACCCTAGCTCTATGAATTGCAGAACTGTTGTGTTGGTTTATGACCATCTGCCCATTCTTCCTGTTATGACACAGCTTGTGAACTTTTACTGGGAATGGTGAAAAGTAAATTCACAGTTTAATGAATTGCTGAGGAGGTCTTTTAAAGTTATGGCGTATGCATTGTTTATGGAAGGTGTTTCCTATTGGGTCTGACTCAGTGGCAACTACATTCATTAATTTAATTTGTTTCTAGGTTTGCCTAGTGTTTCTCTTGACCCACCCAGGCTCAGCGTACAAAAAGACATCCTTACAATTATGGCTAATACAACTCTTCAGATTACTTGCAGGTAAGGATTGATTTTAGATATGTAGATAAGTATTTCCTGTATTAAGTAACTCATTATTGAGCAAAAAATAATTTCCATACAGCATAATTGTAATAGATTTATAGTAATTGTTTATAAGTAGTGAGGTTTCTAAGAAATGACATAATAATGAAAAAATGAGAAAGGTTTTCTCCCAAAAATTCTTCATTATTTTGCTGGCATATTTTCTATTGCCCTCTGCCAACACATTTCCCCCAATAACTAGTATAGAACCAGGCATTATATAGTAGACACTCAATAAATATTGAATGAATAAATGAAGTTGAGGACTTACCCTTAAGGGATAGGGTTGAAGAAGTTTGGGGCCATATTTATAACACAGCTTGTGAGTGGCTCTTGCGCATCTGGTTAGCTCTTTTCAAGAACTTTATGTCATGATAAAATTCTGACTGTGGTAGCAATTTAATATTCAGCCATTAATATTACTGAGTACCTACTCTGCATAGGTAATGAACTTCATACTCTGGCTCAATATTCTGGAATGCCTCTCTTCTCACTTGCTAGCAAGAAGCCATACTATTATTGAGTTTTGTTAACTAGGAAAACAGGCCTCTATGACAAGAAGAAGAGGCCTTTAATTTTTGCCTTTTAGCCACTAACCCAGGAGGAGAAGGAGAAGACCCTGGGGTTCAGTGTAGTGATTATGCAGAAGCTTGTCAAGAACAGTGTGTTTTGGCAGAATAATGGGTAGAGGCAATGTTGCCCTCTGAGAAGAGTGCTGGAGGTCCACCAACAACCTTGGGCAACTTATTGCCATTGTTTATGATTGCTGAATACCAAGTGTTCAACACAGTGACACAGATCTATTTTAAATTGCAGAGTGTAAAGGATACCCTAGTCCGTTATCAAGGGTAGGTCATCGATGCCTGGGGGGAAAAATTACATTAACAGGTGCTATTTCTCTAGCTTTGCTATTTCAATACACATTTCTCACTAGATTTGCCTCTTACCCTCAGCAACAAAGAATATTTAAAATCCTCAAAAAATTCATACTCTTTTTTAAAGCTCCTAATAAACATTTCTTATGTTCTGAGAAAGCTATGAAGTTCCATGAATGTAACTGCAACTTCATGAAATTTCAAGTTCTTTGAAACAAGGATCAGTATGCAACCGTCTTCTTGACATTGACTATCCTCCTTGGAACTTTGTAGAGAAATGCTGCAATAAAAGTAATCTATGTTTTGCCCGGCTGCTGTGGCTCAGTGGTTGAGTGTTGACCTATGAGCCAAGAGGTCACAGTTTGATTCCCGGCCAGGGCACATGCCCCGGTTGCAGGCTCCATCTCCATTAGAGGGCGTGCAGGAGGCAGCCGATCAATGATTCTCTCTCATCATTGATGTTTCTAGCTCCCTCTCCCTCTCCCTTCCTCTCTCTGACATCAATAAAAACATGTTTTTAAAAAAGTAATCTATATCTTAATGTACTCCTTACAGGTCCTGCGAGGCTCTTAGACAGTTGACCCCTCCCTAACCTCACTTCTTACTCTCCTGCTCGCTCCCTCTTATCTGGCCATTCTGGCTTCCTTATTATTCCCTTAACACTCCAGATATGTACCCACTCCAAGGCCTTTACATTTGTGTGCCCTCTGCCTAGAATACTGTTTCTTCTGATATTCAAAGAGCCCACTTCATCAAGACTCTTCCCTCCAGAACTCTTTGTATCATCTATATTTTGTTCGTAGTACTTACCACCACTGTGTAAAGAATACATTTTATTTTTTTAAAAATGTCTGCTATATTGAGGTTTATTTACTTTTTTATTGCCTGTCTCCTCCAATGTGACTGAGATTCCATAATGGCATTGATTTTTGTGTCTGATTTTCACGGCTGTATCTCCAGTTGGATGTATAGCACATACTTAATAAATATTTGTTGAATGAGTAAATTAATAAAAAACTCAGGAATCCCTATAAGTGATTTCTGAAGCTGAGTCTATGGCTTTTTTTTGTCATTTGTTGAAATAACCTGTCTTTGTCGGTAGAAGTCTGTGTGACTCTGTTGAGAAGTCTATATAAGTTTGAGAACCGAAACTTCTATTGGTTTGTTTTTATTTAGAAACAGCTTCATAATGTGGCAGTTCACATTAATACTTTCCTGGAATTAATTTTTCAGGGGACAGAGGGACTTGGACTGGCTCTGGCCCAACAATCAGAGTGGCTCTGAGAAAAGAGTAGAGGTGACCGACTGCAGTGACGGCTTTTTCTGTAAGACGCTCACAATTCCAAAAGTGATCGGAAATGATACTGGAGCCTACAAGTGCTTCTACCAGGACACTGATGTGGCCTCGATTGTTTATGTCTACGTTCAAGGTAAGTGGTTAAAAGGAGTTCATTTCCCACATTGATTTGCCAGCTATAAAACACAATAGGCGCAAAAAAGAATCAGAGTACAACAAAAGGCTCGCCCTAAAGGCTCTTGGCCAACAGGAATATACAAAATTCTTCTCCCCCAAGGCTTCCTCTGAGCATAAGACTCATTGATTTGTTCTGGAGCTTGGGGCTCGGTTATATCTCTTTCGCCAGTTAGTTTTGTTCTGATCTTTGTATCTAAGGGAAATCTGTGTTCACAATTGGCTATGGAGATTTTTAAAAAGCCTTCTGATGTTTGAGAGAAAAAAACCCACACCAGAAATACTTGAAAAGGAAGATTCAATGTGAATTATGGAATGGTTTCTGTGGAGAGATAGGTTATCTACAGCAGTAAGAGATTTCCCCAAGAATGCACAGGGATACAGCCAAGGAATCTGGTGCTCTTTTGTTCATAGGAACTTTTCCCTCTTAAACTTTATAGTAAATTATTCCCATACTTTGGTGCAAATGGAGATGCACCAAAGGGCCTTTGAGGACAGTGTTTCTCTCCTTTGTGTGGTCTGAGATGGTGGATGATATGCTACATCATTCTAGATTGACACCATGGTGGCCAATTAACACCCATGCAGGATAAAATACAATGTTACATGTATTCAGTATATATAATATGAATTCTTTCTTTGCATTTCAAAACTCTTCTACTACCTGAATTTCCCTGTGAAAACCTGACTTAACTAATGAGATACTTATCATATAATTTGGAAGAATGTAAATATTATATAGTATTTTGCTTGGATGTACTAATATTTTTTCAGTGTAGATGACTTTTGTAGACATTTTATTTATACATTTGTACATCTCTTTAAATACCAGAGGATTTGAGGTAGGTGAAGATGGCTTCAACTTTTTTTCCAGAAGCATCTTTTATAGCAGAAGAATTTTGTCAGTTTGAAAAACGTATTTAGAATATATCCACTTGCATTTTGATAATGCAGTTTAGTCGGTGCAATGGAAAAGTGGAGAACACATCAAAATAACATGTCCTCCTGGATTGTATAGTATTTGAGAATTATTTTTTTGTCCAGGTTAAGTATGACCCAAGGTAGAATTCTGTGCCTCCTCTCTGCAGAATGTGAAAGAGACAAAGCTCAGATCTTTGAGAATTTCTGGCTCCTTTTGATCCGGCAGTCTTGGGAGACCAGGCTTTCTCAGAAGATTGCGAGGATTTCCTGCTTTCAGCCTGTCTGGAAATAGACTGCAAGATGAACCTCTCCCATAATATCTCCTTATTTCCTTCTCCCTGGAGTCAGGAAACCTGGAGACATGTGAAAACGCATTTCATGAGTTTCAGTAAATATTTTATTTTGAAAGGATGGGTGGTTGTTTGGGTTTCTTTTGTTTATTTCCTTTTTCATGGGATACTGAAATAGAATTGATTTACCGAATAGCTTTAGTCTTACGTCAAGGGGTTAATTTAGTTTCCAAAGGCTTCTGTAAGCAAGCTCTATAACATTTCCTACCATATGGATGAATGGTAGGCAATGTTAAGAAGTAGCAAGCCCTAGCACTGTTTATTGGTATATTGCTCATCTTTTGTATATCATCAAATTCGGCTTCCTGTTGACGAGGTAAGCTGATCGAGATTGTGGTCATGAAACTTAACAATGGGAAAGAAAATGCTGGACAGCCCTTTAATGTCCCCACTGGTCTCCACCTTACTTCCCTAGTCTTCTGACCCCATTCCCTTCAGCAATGGATGGAGCCAGGAAGTGGGCCCTGGCCTGGCAAGATAATGGCTATGGCATGTGGTGGGCTGGATTGGCTGCCTTTCTGTGCTTTCCAGCTGGGAAGGAAATCAGATTTCTGCTGTTGAGAGAATTAGTTGCCTTTGTCCCCTTTGGTTTAATTAACTCTTCCTTCCCTTGGACCAACCATCTTGAAGAGCTCTGAAAATGCTAAGTCAGGTGTGTGGGGCGTAGCAGCTTGAATGATTATCTTTCTGAGGGTTCAGGCATGATTTCACTCTATCTCTGGGGAATGGAGGAGTTTCCCACCAGCGTATGAACATTGTACGAACAATGTTTGAACGGCATTAAAATCTCTTTTATTTTCTTCTCACTCTTTGCTATGGTGGCTTTTCAAGTTTTTGTCATTGAAGATATTAATGACTGCTGAATCTTAAACTAGACACAATAACTATTAAACATTATTTTATAAAGAATCTCACACCGAGTCTTCACAATTTTAAAATACCCATATAAAACAATTCAAAAATTATTAGTTACTTCTTGCTTATTTTAAAGTTCCTTTGGGATCTGTTAATTTATTTTCATGGCATTTACATTATTTGCCTAAAGAAAGAGAGCATGAATTTTTTTAACATCAATAAAACTCAGTAGGTAAAGTGTAAAGATTTAAATTTACTTTAAAATTTATATATGAAAAATGTAATGTATATGAAAAATGTATATGTGTATATGAAAATGCATATGAAAAGTGAAGAAGTATACTCATTCCTTTTGAAAAATTGTGATGATTGGTCTATTTAAATGTGGAACCTATAAAATATATTATTCTTATTGATGATCCTTGTGAAAGGAGTCAATTCCATTCTGTGATTTTTCTTTCAGATTTTTCACACACACACACACACACACACACACACACACACACACACACCCTTCTTGCAGAATACCCTTGGGGCCAGATATGTACCAGCAGATCGACCTGTGGATTCCTTCCCCTAGTGTGAATGTCAATTCCAATCCTTCTCAGAACCTGAAAGATAACCAACTTTCCCAGTAAATTTCATTAAGTAAACAGAATTAAATTTTCTTTTAGATTACAGATCTCCATTTATTGCTTCTGTTAGCGACCAACATGGAGTTGTGTACATCATGGAGAACAAAAACAAAACTGTGGTGATTCCATGTCTTGGGTCCGTTTCAAACCTCAATGTGTCACTTTGTGCAGTAAGTTACATCTTCAGTCTTCTCTTCTGTTGTCATAATTTTAAACTACTAAGATGGGTAGCTTGTTTATAATATAACATCAAGAATGATATTTAAAGATCTTATAGAAGGGTCAAAATGACAATAAAGAAAACCAATTTGTATTCTTAAATTGTCAATTTTGTAGTGATCATTTTACATGATTTTGCTTTTGGATAGCACTTGATTAAATATTTGATATTTCTCTTTCTACCCAGAGATATCCAGAAAAGAGGTTTGTTCCTGATGGTAATAGAATTTCCTGGGACAGTAAAAAAGGCTTTACTATTCCCAGCTACATGATCAGTTATGCAGGCATGGTCTTCTGTGAAGCAAAAATTAATGATGAAAGTTACCAGTCTATTATGTACATAGTTGTGGTTGTAGGTAAGAGAACAGTTTCTTTCTATATCATTATTGTCACACACAAAGATTGGCTTCCTGTATTAACATCCTGGAGATTTAGGTATAGAGTGAAAGACAGGGATTTGAAAAATATATTAACTCAAGACACAGTATTGGGCAACTCATTAATATCTACTCTTTAAAAAAAATCAAATAAACCCATGTACAATCAAGGTTTTCTCTTTTCTTGCCAAGACCAAGGATGAAAAAGAATACTATTAACTGAAGCATATTTTATGGAAAATTTAATGTTCAGAGCATTGCTTGGCATCTATTATTTTAATTATACCTATTTTATGGAAAGTTCAGCAATTTACTAAAGCTGGCCCCATTGGCCATTGACTACTCAAATTTTACTACTTTTCTCTCCACTGGGCTCCAACATCTTTGAGATCCCCGAACGTTTGCTTTGTAAATCTCTACTGGCCATTTTTCTGAGAGCTCCCAAATATTGGTGAAACCCTCAGGGAAAGATGATGTGACACATGTTAATGTTGCATCATTTGGGGGAAAGCTTGTGCCAACTCATAGATTTGTTTTCCCTCTCACTTTCTGTTTTTTCAATTTACTTGCTCCAGGGTCAAAGATTTATGATGTAGTTCTGAGCCCCGCTCACAAAGTCGAGCTGTCTGTTGGAGAGAAGCTTGTTTTAAATTGTACAGCAAGGACTGAACTAAATGTGGGGATTGACTTCAACTGGGAATACCCTTCTTTGAAGGTAACACTAACAATTTAAAGCCAGCTCTCTAAATACTTTGCTAATCAGCTCCAATAGCATTGGCTGGAGAGAGATAGGGACCTCTCTAGCCAGATAAAATGTAAATATCTTCACACACACACACACACTTTAAGAGAATTGCAGAACAGACAACATTAATGGAAAAGAAGATGCAATGCCAAGAATTCTCTGTCCCACTCTGCTACAATCAGGCTCTGAAGATTAGTTTTCTCTGGATGATCCCATCTGCCCAGGTTGCTTTATTTCTCTGTTCTGCAAAGTCTTTGATCTTTTTTCCCTTTAAGAGAATTTCTCTCTTCAAGAGGTGGCATGAGACACACTTCTCCTTAAACAGTGATCCTATTTGCCTGTTTCTGCAGTTCATACCCATCTCATTCCCACTATGTGAGGTTTTAAAAATCCTTTTTCATTTGGTTCCACTTATTTCTCCTGAAACGAAATATATTTGTTGTCTACATATATTAAAAGTTCTGAAATCTCTATTATCAGCATTAAGTAATGTCCACCAAGAGCCAAGACTTGATGTTCTGGGTATCTAGAATCTCCTGGGTAATGTCATCCTGGACTTAGCAAACTGTTTTACAGCATCAGCATAAGAAACTTGTGAACCGGGACCTAAAAACCCAGCCTGGGAGTGACATGAAGAAATTTTTGAGCACCTTGACTATAGATGGTGTAACCCGGAGTGACCAAGGGTGGTACACCTGTGAGGCTTCCAGTGGGCTGATGACCAAGAGGAACAGCACATTCGTCACGGTCCATGGTAAGCTAAGATCTCCTTTGGAATTATGCTGTGCTTTGGAACGTGACATAATTTAAATAAATTCAGATCAGCTAGTGAACCCTATTTTGATCATTCAGAAAATACTAGAGGCCTGATGCATGAAATTCGTGCAAGAGTAGGACTTCCTTCCCTCGGCTGCTGGCACCAGCTTCCCTCTGGCACCCGAAACCCCGGGCTTCCCTCACAGCCTCAGCTTCATCCGGAAGGTCGGCCGGAAGGACGTCCGGTCTAATTAGCATATTACACTTTTATTATTATAGATTTCTGAACTCTTGCTAGGTAGGCCACATGACCTGGAGGCCAAGAGCATAGCTTGGATTCAAAATCCCAACTTTAATGGTGAGATGCCAATAGACGATTAAAGCTCACTAAATAGTACTTGTTGTAGTTGTTGTTGGTGCTATTATTACTATAATATGCAGAATGTTATTATCTAAGATAGTTTTTAGATTTTCATTTTATTGCAAGGCTGAGAGTCCCACTTGAGTAAGCATGGGCTTTGCAGTTGGAAAAATCTGGATTGAATTACTTTCTGTGGGGCTTTGAGCAAATAACTTAATTTCTCTTTCACTCACATAAATGTCTCAGTTTAGATGATAATTTATGTGGCACCCAAATTATGAGCCTTGGTAAGGATTTGGGGTTTTATAATATGGGAACGCATAGCAGGGTTTTAAGCAGGGAGAGAGACATGTTCTGGCTTATGTTTTTATAGGATTATTATCTTTTTTTTATATGGAATACTTTAAGGAAGTAAGGGTGGAAGTAGGGAGACCAGTTAGGAGGCTAATCACAATAATCCAGTTGACAGATGGTGGGTGGCTTAAAAAAAAGTGGCAGAGGTAGAAGTAGTGAGAAGTGATCTGATTTTGGATCTATTTTTGAAGTTAGAGCCAATAGGATCTGCCTATTAATTCGTTGGCTGTGGGGGCGTAAGAGAAAAAGAATGGAAGGTGACCTTTGAGTTTTTATCATGAACAACTGAGTGAGTGGTGATTTTACTTCCTGAGATAGGGAACATTGATGGAGGAGTAAGATTAGGGGAAACAGGATTGGATGTGTTCATTTGAAGATGCCCATAAACATCCAAAAGGAGGTATATAACATATAAACCTGGAACCAGAAAAATCAGGGCAAGAGACAAACATTTAGGAGGATGTAAATGGCACCTTATGCCTGAGACTAGAGGAAGGTGTTGATAAAGAGAAGAGGTCTGAGGACTGAGTCCTGGGGCACGTGGGGGGTATGTATAGGGTGTGATGGGAGCAGAGGAGAAGGAGCACCCAAGTGCTTGGGGAACTTAGAGAAAGCTTCACAGAGGAAACATTGCTTGAATTGAGACCTGAGCAATTGGTAGGCTTGCGGAGTACATTGGGGCAGGGGGCGGGGGGTGGGGGTGGGGGCGGGAGATAGAGAATCAAAGGCAAAACTTGGAGGTGTGGGAGGGGCTGGAATATGACTTCCAGCAGGATAGTATGGGCAGTCTCTGAACTTAGACCCCCAAGGCCTTTGACTCTTCACTTGAAATGAAATAATAAACCCAACGACCTCTTACAATACGTTGACATTATGAGAATAATTCTCTTTTTTTTCTTTCAGAAAAACCTTTTGTCGCTTTTAGTAGTGGCATGGAGTCTCTGGTGGAAGTCACGGTGGGAGACCGGGTCCGAATCCCTGTGAAGTACCTTGGTTACCCTCCGCCAGAAATAAAATGGTAACCCTCGGAAATAAACGCAAAGCATTGCTCCACATGAAAGTCAATCCGAGATTGTATAATTCCTGTTTCTCCCCCTCCCCCACGTAGGTATAAAAATGGAAGACCCATTGAGTCCAATCACACAATCAAAGTGGGGCATGTATTGACGATTATGGAAGTGAGTGAAAAGGATACAGGAAATTACACTGTTATCCTCACCAATCCCATTTCAAAGGAGAAACAGAGCCACATGGTATCTCTGGTTGTGAATGGTGAGTCCGTCCAGTTTTCCTTTTCTGCCCAGAATTTATTATGAAGTGTATGGTTATATTTTCCTATTCCTTTGTCACCTGCTGCTTCACTCACATCCTGAGTGAGCTCCTATGTATAAAAATAGTCCAGAGCAGTGGCATTGAAATGAGGTATAGGAGAGTGTGCTCTGGACATGTTTGCAAGTGAACTGCTTGGTGGTCAAATGCAAGGTTAAAGTAGATGCTATCCTCAATGGCTAAATGCTGAGAATGCCTGCGGGGACAGTTGGCAAACCTAAGCTGCACCACTTTTGCACCTGTCTCATGGACTTGTGCACCTGGCATTGCCAACATGTAAGCCTCTTCTTGAATTTTGTGGGAAGCTTTCAGTTTGACATTGAAGTTGATGTGCCAGTCATGCTCAGGGAGGAAAACACTGTTGGCTGGTGGAAGCTTTTCAAAATTTTTTTAAAACAGGAGTCCAGGATCTGACTCTGAGGCTATAAAGGGAAGATATAGAGTGTTTTATTTAAGGATGATTTGAACTTTGTTTTTTTCAAACTGAAATATGTAAATAAATGTTCTGTGTCAGGGGGAAAAGGGGTGTCATGGTCAAGTAAGTGTGGGAGATGCTAAGTTGATATAAAACTTTATTGCAGGACTTCTCAGGGCTTTTAATATGCAAATATATTGCCATTCTCCAAGGGGAGAGACTTAGAATTTTCAAGGTTTAACAAACGTATTTGACCAAAGCATCCCTCCCCAGTAAATCCATTAATACCTTGCTCCAAACACAGTCTATGGGAAATGCTTCTCTATTGTAATTCTTTGGCAGGCATATTAACACTTCAGGATCTTCTCCTATGACATTAAGGTGCTTCCCCATATATCCTGACACCTCCCTATGTGTCTGTTGAGGTTGGCTCTATTTCTTGGCGGGGACATCAGCTTCAGGGAGGTAACAGTTTCCAGAAAGTCCCTTAGAAGCCACTTGGGAGTAGGAGATTGAGGAGTGGAGAGAAGTTGGAAAGCTGATAAGTAAGGGAGAAGGAAATGAATAAGAAAAAAAAGATGTAAAAATGGACAGCGGATAACCCCATCTCATTAATTCATGAACTCGCTTAACATATGACTTGCTCTAGCATTTACCCTATTATATAAAATCAGTATAAAAAAGAAGTGTTATTGTTATTAGTGGTAGCAGGAGTAGTAGTAGTACTATCCCTAGAAGTCATGTCTCCTGTGTCCAAGTCTAGATATTCTTTGAAAAACGAAATGGGGGCAAAATCATCTGCTTTGAAAAATGTAGGCTTTTATTGCTGAAAGCGTCAGCTTTTCATACCGTAACACCAATTGACAATTCAGAAGTGGTTTTTCTTATCTTTAGTCCCACCCCAGATTGGTGAGAAATCTTTGCTCTCTCCTGTGGACTCTTACAAATATGGCACCACCCAAACGTTGACATGCACGGTCTACGCAGTTCCTCCCCTGAGCCACATCCTCTGGTATTGGCAGCTGGAGGAGGAATGCACCTACAATCCCAGGTGAGCAGAGCCTCGCCCTCTTTCTTCCTGCCCTTTGGCATTTCTTATAGCCCAGCTCCGCCATGACTCCAGCCCAAGCCGAGAAGTCTGTCTCTAATAAGAAAGCTGGCCCTCAGGTGGTGCTCTTAATCTCCATCCATCTTTCTCGGTCTTGGGTTTTAGCAGTCTTTCTGTGGGGTATCCTGCCTTGACGTTAGCTAGCTTTTTCTCCACAGGTCAGCCCTGATGTATACCTCTCCAAATGCAGGCTCTTGCTCACTTTGCTAATTGCCAGTCTTTGGTTTTTCTCCTTATTCCAATTAACAGGTGAATACCACTTCTCTCCTTATCCGGGAGAAGGTTCATCTCGAGGAAGTGCTGCTGGAGTCAGGGAGCATTAGACCTCACTGCAGCCAGCCTCAGAGGCTCTGGCCCAGCTTATCAGGTTCTAACACAAGTCCAGACATCCTTAGGAAAAAAAACACACACAAAAAACCCCCACCACAACAGCCACCTACACCACCCTAAGCAGTTCACTTCCTGTTGTTGTTTTTGAGATGGCCACTACTAGATTCTGCCTCAGATGCTGACCATTTCCTACACAAAGGCCACAGTCCCACAGAGATTACTCTAAGAAGCCCAATGGTTTCTTAGTTTCCTTTGAACTAAATTAACTTGAATTGTCTTGTCGATCCAATTTATGAATGGAGGTTTGTTCCCAGAATAGCTGCTTCCCTCCTGTATCCTGAATGGATTTACCTGGAACCTCTTCCCTGGTTGCTGAGGCCTATTTTTAATTGGCATCAAGTCTTGTAACCAGGCAGGGTACATTGAAAGTTATTTCTAAGAACATAATAGCCCAAGTCTGACTACTTTCCTTACTATTGACGTGCATTAAAGAAAAATGTAATCATTATATGATCTGTTATCTCTCTTACAGTCAAGCTGTCTTAATGACAAATCCATACACCTGTAAAAAGTGGAGAAATGTGGAGGATTTCCAGGGAGGAAATAAAATTGAAGTAAACAAAAATCAGTTTGCCCAAATTGAAGGAAAAAACAAAGTGAGTTTGAAGTTCTTTAATTTGCAGATCTGTCTCTCTCTCTCTCTCTTTTATGGAAGGCTGGCATGGAAGCAGGGTATAATAATATGTGAGGAATATTGGAGAATGATAATCAAATAAATCAGATGATAAAACACTAGCATATTAAGTCAGTTTGGAAACACCATTGACTTTTAGAAGCACCACTGACTTATTAATAGCTTAGAGTAAGATAAGACACAAATGCCATTAAATCTAAGCATCTGTTATAAGGTGATTCTGGTTTTACAAGTATGAAAATGAGAAAATATGTTACATTAAAGCACAAGGTTCCCAAAGCCCATTTTGTGCACTGTGTGAGCTAAGCCAGCGTAATATACTTGCATGCATTTGTGAGTGGTCAGTGTAGTAGAATGAATGCAGTAGGCAGGTTATGGGGTGGCTTAATTTTTTAATTTTTTAGTCTGAATGCATGTGCATAAACAGAGCCTCCATTGTTTATGGCCTGGGATTTGTTTTTTTCTCAGACTGTAAGTACCCTTGTCATCCAGTCGGCAAATGTGTCAGCTTTGTACAAATGTGAAGCGGTCAACAAAGCCGGGAGAGGAGAGAGGGTCATCTCCTTTCACGTGACCAGTAAGTGCTGCTCTCCAAGGGGTGGGCTGGATCTCCCGCCAGGTGGGTGCTAAGCTGTCTGATACTCTGTAGCCCTTGCTATTCCTGGGAGTAGCATGGCGTTTAGGAAGAGGACTTGGACTGATAACTGATGCTCTGGTTTATAAATTGAAACTGCTCAGGTACATCCAACTTCACTGGAGAGATCATGGTTTCACATCATGGTTTCACACAGGCTTATAATCACAGGTCCTGCATCATAGTTATGTCTCCATCATCAGAGTCTAGCACAGTGCTCGGCTTATTGGGGTTCAACCAATACTAGTGGGCTTGCTGCTGATGTGTTGACAAGGTTGGGTTTTCTGGAGGCAATTGTAATGACATAGGAACAGTGGCCTCTAAATGCTGCTGATTTTGTCTGTTCATCTGAGTTTTATGGCCAAGCTGTAGCTGATATTTGATAAATATTTGTAAAATTTTATTTACATTTCCAAATAACCTATTTTTGTAAAATAATATTATTTTGGACCTGACCTGTCCATTTTGGCTAGTCTCCTTGTATTACGTTGTGTGGGATTGCTAGAGCTTCACTTATCTTGGTGCTGTACAGCAGGTCTGAAGGCAACAGGAAGATCATAGGGGCCTCCCCAGTTGAATCATTATCTTCTAACCATGGGTTTTACATTTCAGAGGGTCCTGTAATCACTCTGAAGCCTGATACCCAGCCAACCGAGCAGGAGAGCGTGTCTTTGTGGTGCAGCGCAGACAGAACTACATTTGAGAACCTCACATGGTACAAACTTGGCCCACAGACTCTGCCCACACCTATTTGCAAGAACTTGGATGCCCTTTGGAAAATGAATGCCACCATGTTTTCTAATGGCACAAGTGACATTTTGATCATGGAGTTCCAGAATGCATCCTTGCAGGACCAAGGAGACTACGTCTGCTTTGCTCAGGACAGGAAGACCAAGAAAAGGCATTGCGTGGTCAGGCAGCTCACAGTCCTAGGTAAGGAGGCAACTCTGATCTTCTAGAGGCTGTTGAAATGCCTTAAATGTAGTGATTTGAGAAGCTGAGTGAAGACTCCTGCCCTCTAGGAACTTATAAAGTCAACTGGTGCATATTAATCTTATTTACTGAAAGTCCTTGAGGCAAAACGACAAATAATGGTGAAGTGATGGGTTAAAAGGAGAAAATATCTTGGTTCTTTCCAACCCTAAAGGTGCAATAACTCACTAATATCTGCAAGGGATTAGCCTGACCCAGGGAAACTTCTGCCATATTCTTGGGCACTCATTTATGTAAGATTTATGAAATTTCTAGTATGAGCTAGGAGGATGCCAGAAGGTCACAGTGGTGAACAGGTGGACAGGATGAGAACACAGACAGCCACCAGGCAGTCATATACAGTGAGGGCTCTGTGTCTGTGAGGACAGGAATTGTTTTCTGTTTTACTCCTTGCTATGCTGCAGTCATTGAACATTGTGGCACATGCTAGGTTCTCAGCAAGGTACCTGCTACATGAACAGTGCAATGGTGGGGTTGTTTAGGACCTGTGAGAGCCTGTGAGAGTGGTGCTGCACTCAGTGCCTATACCTCTGTGTCATCCGTGTGGTCCTGAGTAGTTCAAGGTCCCTGAGATAATAATTTTGGTGAGCAGATAGCTTTGTGAATTCTCCATGAAGCTCCTCTCTAAATCTCATCTAACCTTAGGCCTTGCACAAAATCTGTGCAGCCATGGCTCTGTCTCTGGGGAGATCAGGCAAATTTGGCGAGTTTCCCTTCATGTCATCTCCCTCCATTTTCTCCTCTCTTTAGTGTCCCTTCCCAGATTCTAAGATGCATGTGTTCTGGTTTTTGTTGTGTGTTTTTTCAATTGTTAGAAAGAGCAACAACTTCCCACATAAACTAATCTATACCAATGTTTTAGAGGAATAATATTTTCAGAGGCCTTGGCATATTTTAAGAGGTATCTTTAGACAGACATTAGGAGGTGTTTTGCTAGTGTTAAGTCTTAGGTGTCAAAAAAAGAGATATTTTTTAGGTGAAATCATCCCAGGGTTCTTCAAAACACATCACACACCATATTTTCTGTTCACCTTGGTAACTGGTCTGGTTTTAAGCTACTGGAAGAATTCAGAAAGAGATGGGAAAGGGGTTCCTGGCCTTGCCACGCCCAGGAAATGGTGCTCACAATGAACTGGTTTGCTTCCCTAAGGACTCCCACCTTGTTTCCCAAAACGTATTCTTAGAAATTGACTAGAGGTCAGGAAATTGGCTTAAACCCCAGTGTAATTTACTGTTAAGGTAATCTCATTTTGCTAAATCTTGAAATAGATTCTTTCAGTGAGATTCCTTCCGATATTTAATTGGTTTGAATAGATATTTCCATAGCACTTTGGTGATTTATAGGAAAAGGGTAAATCTAAAGTTTTTCTGTATATGCATACAAATACCCATGGGCTTACTTTTCTTTGAATCTTCGACTTTCCTTAGGGTATTGGTGTTTTGTTTGTGTTTTAGTGGAAATAGCAATGGACCAGACTTTTAGGTGCACCAGATTCTATTAGTTCACCTTTTTACTGAGTTATAAAGACTTGGGAAAGTTGTTTAACCACCTGAATCACAGTTATTTCAACTATAAAATATAGCTAATACTCCTATCCTGCCCATCATAGGACTGAGAGTAAACAACAGAAATAGTATAAATGAGTTTGTACCAAATAAATACAAGGCACTCTTTGTTTGTTGCATTCTACTGAAGCTTTGCAATTTCCAAAAGAAGCATGGCAGAATTTTAGGGTGTCACCAGCTAGAACTTTTCTGGGAGGGAAACCATGTCTGATTAGAGGAAAAATCCATAAAGGCAACAACCTTTATCCTGTGAAGTGATTACCAGCTTGAATCACTAATATGAATGTTCAAAGAGATGCAGTAACCTGTCTGAACCGTCCTGATTTATTGATTCATTTCACTTTACTCAGTGACCAACGGTACTGGTATCACCCTCTGTGTGTTTTCAGCTTAGTAAATCAACAGTGTACTGTTTACTAAGTTTAAATGGTAACACAGTTTACTGATACTCAAACCATTTCAAAAGTCATACCTAAATGTTCTATTTTCTTTCTGTGTGCAAAGAGCGCATGGCACCCATGATGACAGCAAACCTGGAGAATCAGACCACAAGTATTGGTGAAACCATCGAAGTTTCCTGCCCAGTGTCTGGGAATCCCCCTCCACAGGTTTCCTGGTTTAAAGATAATGAGACGCTCGTGGAAGACTCAGGTGAATAGAACATGTCTATCTCTCCTTGGCTGCAGAATTTTCCTGGAGATGTTGTCCAAAATCCATATTATGTTTTATAATTTGTTTGAGGTAGAAAAAAACAACCATCTAAGTGTCCATGGTCTGGCTCATTTCATAGACTTGGAATCACAGTATTCAGAGCCTTCTTGAATTCTTCTGGAAGCCAGGTGTGATGAGTCAGCAGTTGATGCTATGGACTCTTTGGAGTTAGATAATAGCCAAGATAAAGGGCAGCATTTATATTTTAATTTTTTTCCTGAAAAACTCCACTAGACCACATCATAAATAAAAGCCATAATTTTCTTTCTCTCTTAGGGATCGTACTGAAAGATGGGAACCGGAACCTAACTATCCGAAGGGTGAGGAAGGAGGATGAAGGTTTCTACACCTGCCAGGCATGCAATGTTCTTGGATGTGCAAAAGTGGAGGCATTTTTCATAATAGAAGGTCAGTGGCCAAAACCGGTCTGGCTCAGTGGATAGGGCGTCGGCCTGCGGACTGAAGGGTCCCAGGTTCGATTCCGGTCAAGGGCATGTACCTGGGTTGCGGGCACATCCCCAGTGGGAGATGTGCAGGAGGCAGCTGATCGATGTCTCTCTCCCATCGATGTTTCTGACTATCTGTCTCTCTCCCTTCCTCTCTGTAAAAAATCAATAAAATATATTAAAAAAAAAAAAAGGTCAGTGGAACTTCATAGACACATCAGATGGTTTTAAAAAATTATGTCTCATACTCATACACTTTGGGTGGGAAGATTATAGTTGATTTTTAAATATTCTTTGTACTCTGTAAATTTTCTATTATAAGTATATATTATTTTAATCAGGCAACATAATTACTGTTATTTTCATTTTGTTTGTATCACATTTCTGTCCCTGCAGTTCTCACGGTGGAAAAATTCTTAGCCAGGCAGGCAGAATATCCACCTTTCCCTGATTCTTTTTTTATTTGAATGGCTCAGTGAAATTGTTATGAAATTATACTTCTATATTTATTGAGAAAATCATTAGAATTACTGCCTAGTCATGAAAATAAATGCTATCCAAATAGTCACAAATATGTTCATAGTTTTCATTGGACTAAAAACAATTAAGATTCGTTTGTGAACAATAGACCATTGCTTTTCTGAAATGAAAAATTTGGGGTTCTTATCTGAACTTGAAAAGAAACTTGTCTGTATATGCAAGAATGATGTGAAATCTGGCATTTTCTCAGATGGGAAAGGTAATTTGTGCAGACTATTTTATCTTCAGAAGTGTATTCCTCTTTTTTTTGTTAATAACCATCAGAGGGACAATGAAAGCATATTATGCGGGTGAAGGAATGGTATGCAAGGGGAAGAAAAAAGGGTGGTGACAGGTGGAGGAACTGATGGATTTTTATGAACTCATCCTACCTTGTCTCTCAAAGTCCAAATTGTAGTCCCTTTAATCTATCAAATCTCTGTTGCCAGGTATTGCATCTCAGTACCTTGACTTGTTTTCAAATCTCTAGGCTTATTACCATTTCATAAATTGCACTTGCAAGTAAAGATTTCAAGTGCGTGAAATAGAGATTTCAAGTGACATGGTGGTTTTGTCACCTCCTGAGTGCTTCACGTTTGGGGGAAATTCTAATGGAGACGTCCATTTCTATCCTTTGCTCTGCCTCACCTTGGTTAGCTGTTTGTGGCTGGTTACCAAGAGCTAAGTAGGTAACATTGGCACAGGGATTAGATTTACTTCTCACCTAAGGAAAATACTAAGAAAGGAAGAGATACATGTTTAATTTTCCTGCTAAGTTCCCAAATGTTATTATGGGAATATTAATACACAAACTTATTTTGACAATTGAATCTTTGAACTTCTTACCGTGTATAAATGAGCTTTTAAATCTCTAAGTATAAATAGAGAATTACTTGAGTACATCCACCAGGAAAACATAATCTACTCCCAAGCATCCGTGGTGCTTGCCTCTCAACTGTTAACTCTTATTTTGCTAACTAATTAATTACTTGTCTTTCTGCCTTCTTGAGACTGCCTGGGCCACTCACAGCTTGTGGCCGGTTTGATGCAAGCTGCCCTCAGCCACTGGGGCTCGAAGTGATAATTGCTTCCTTATCAACTCTTTGCTAATCACTCTTAGCAGAAAGCATCCTCTGGGCTCAATTTCTCCCACTCAGAGCTGTCCTCTGGAGCGATGAGCTTCTGCAGCTTTCCTTGCCCACCTTTAGCTTTTTCTCTTCTCTTTCCTTTCCTGAGAGCTTTCTTTAAATATATATGTATATTTTGGTTACAGTTTACATACAATATTGTATTAGTTTCAGATATACAGCACAGTGATTAGACATTGATATAACTTATAAAGTGACACCATTTCTCGTTATTACAACATTATTGACTATATTCCCTTGGCTGTACTTTACATCCTGTGACTGCTTTTATAACTGACAATTTGTATGTCTTAATCTTTTCTCCCTTTTTACCCATTTTCACCAACCTCCTCCCATCTGGCAAACATCAAAATGTTCTCTATGAGTTTGTTTCTATTTTGTTTGTTCCTTGTTAGTCTTTCTCAAAACTATACAGATCAAAACACAGATTATCAGAGTAAAACCAGACATTTACTTTCCCCCATTAGAAGTACTTTTCTTCTCTATAGAACATGATCTTTTTTTTCCCCATCAAAGTCTTCTCTTCTTTCAAACACTTTCTATGGCTGTCTTTGAAGATATTGCTATTTCTACCCTTAATTACTTTAGAATTTTATTGTTGGAAGTTTTCATGAGCAAAGTTTAACAAACTTTAAATTATCCATTAATAATAGGATAAATTCCATCCAAGTTAGAGGTGTGTGACTTTATTCAGGATTCTTCCATGTTGGTAAGCTTGAGATCTTGCTTTAGTGTTTAACGTTGTCATCTTATATCAAAAGATATGAGTTTCCAACTGTTGATGCTCATTCAATTGTGTCTTTTCAGGTGCCCAGGAAAAGACCAACTTGGAAGTCATTATTCTAGTGGGAACTGCTGTGATTGCCATGTTCTTCTGGCTACTTCTTGTCATTGTTCTACGGACTGTTAAGCGGGTAACAAAATAGTTTCTCTTCCATCCCATGCATGTTGGTTTTCATGATTAATGAAAGCTGACTAGGGCTTCTTCCCATTGTTTTGGCTAATGGGCACAGTTTATTTCAATACAATAATATCTTGCCCTCTTTCTTTTGGCTGAACCACTGGGCTTTAATTGATAGAAACCACTAGAGGAGAAAAGGGCTTGGACTGTCTAGTGTAATTAAAATTTAATAACTTAATTCTGAGCTTATTTGGGAGTTGTGGGGACACTGGAAACAGGATTATAATAGGACTACTCTCAAAATCCATGAGTGTTATTTAAAAATGGGACATCAGGAATGGGGCTTCTATCAAAACAGTAACAAGCACACTAAACAACAGCCAAACAACAGAGTGTGTGTGACTTAAAGGAGTAATGATTTCCAGGCCAATGGAGGGGAACTGAAGACAGGCTACTTGTCCATCGTCATGGATCCAGATGAACTCCCCTTGGATGAACACTGTGAACGCCTGCCTTATGATGCCAGCAAATGGGAATTCCCCAGAGACCGGCTGAAACTAGGTATGCTTTCAAATTATATTAATTTAATACTGGATTTATTAAGCCATCTCGTCTTTCTTTAGGATGGTGACAAATCTAGTCTTTACAAATGTTGGATTCTAATTCAGAAATATTCATTTCATTGCTTGAATTTGAATAATTACCCATTTTTGTCACTTAGAAGTAGGGTCCCTTTATAATCATCCAAAGCAGGACATTTAGAGAGTGAAGGGGGTAAATATTGAATAATTAAGCCAGGACAAGGAGTAAACTGGACTGTTCATGTTAAACTGGAATGTATGGTCACTGTACCTCATTGGAATCTCTGCATATCACTTGGGTGGTGTAATAGCCCAGATCTGTTTTATTGTTGCTGTCACTGTTGACTGTAGGTAAGCCTCTTGGACGTGGTGCCTTTGGCCAAGTGATTGAAGCGGATGCCTTTGGAATCGACAAGACAGCAACTTGCAAGACAGTGGCCGTCAAAATGTTGAAAGGTAAAAGCAAAATTATATGGTGATGAAACCCTCTATCTGTTTCATCTGGTCTTTACACATGATGGAAAGGCTTGTATCAGCGGCTCTGTGGTTAGGTGGACCCACTAGCCAAGCATGCAGTCAACTTATATACTTTTGTGAAAATCTTTTATAGCTTCATGCCAGGGTACATGGCCAGGGAGGCAAAGTTAGGGATGAATTTCAGCAACACCCCCTCCCCACCTTGCCTGGGAGTCCTTGTGCAAGACACAGCTTGCACAACTGTAATGAGTGAGTGGCCTGGCTACGGGGGGGGGGGGGTGTAGTGGGGGGGGGACACCTTGGTTACATAAAAATTATTTCTTACTTTATTATGGTGCTTTAGTAAGATAATTATAGACCATTAGAACATGAAAATAAATTTGATATAATAAATAAAAATACTATAGTAGAGTACAAAAACAGCATGCTCCCTAGAATTGTAATATGTTAAATATTTCACATATAAAAGATAATATAAAAAATAAGGATGGTGTGCTAGGATAAAAGGATTATGGGTGATATTTAAAAAATTAACAACTTTGTGAATAATTGTTAATCCTAATAGTAATGGAAGTCTGGACTTGCTATTTTAATTTGGGGAGGTGATGCATACAAAACCCTTTGCTCCAGTTGTGATGTGCTTTTATTGATGGAGATGATGCTACCTACCCTCTGTCAATAGGTCTTGATGGCATTTCAAAGCCATCTCTCCCCTTTTGCCTGTTCTCTCTTGTGGCCAAAGGGATATGTAATTTTGAGGTGGCTTATCAGGACCTGAGGTGTGGACCATGTCTGTGAATTATAGGGAAGTCTACCGGTTGGTGCTGGATCAAACTTACACTTTTAGCCTCATCAGCTTCGTGTGCCAACTGGCCTTGCCAGCTGGCCCTTGTTAAGTTTCCTGCTCAGCAAAGATTGGCGGGAACTTCGGCATAGCCCTGAACACATGAGGATATTTAATCCATGGTATTGCTTCCTTACGAGGAAGCACGAAATAATCAGGCCCCAAGAAGCATAGTAAACCCGGTAAATGAAAATCCAATTTTACAAAAGAATAAAATCTGGGCACAATTCCATTTGCAGATGTATTCTCCACTTTGCAAAAGAGTCCACAATGGGTTCCTTTAAATATCAAACATTCTGAGTGCACTTAAAGGAAGATTTTGATTTAGAATTAGAAAATGTAATTTATACTTGACTTCCAGGGGAATGCACTAGTTTGCAAATAGGGCTACAGTTGTATCATCGCTGGAGGGAAAGTTGCAGAGCTTCATCAGTCTTCCCAAAGTAATGGCCACACTCTTTTTTTTTAAATATATTTTATTGAGTATTTACAGAGAGGAAGGGATAGAGATAGAGAGTCAGAAACATCAATGAGAGAGAAACATCAATCAGCTGCCTCCTGCACATCTCCTATTGGGGATGTGCCCGCAACCCAGGTACATGCCCTTGACCGGAATCGAACCTGGGACCCTTCAGTCCGCAGGCCGATGCTCTATCCACTGAGCCAAACCGGTTTTGGCATGGCCACACTCTTGATTTCCCTCTTCCCCCTGTATTTGTAGAGGGAGCAACACACAGTGAACACCGAGCCCTCATGTCTGAACTCAAGATCCTCATTCATATTGGCCATCATCTCAATGTGGTCAATCTTCTAGGCGCCTGTACCAAGCCAGGAGGTGAGTATCTGTGGATGGTTCTGGTTGCGCGATTTGGGCATATGCATCTCTGCTAGTCTTTGAGGGAAACCATTCAACTCTCATGGCCTTGATTTCCTTAACTTAGGATACTTTGCGAGATTTTCAGATACTTATAAATATATTTCATGGAGGTTAAGTGGGCACTATAAATAATTCTGGATCTTCCTATGAAATAAAAAATGTCACATCACTATAATGCAGTTTGCCACTTGTGCAATAGGTGTTCAGATAAGAAAAATAAACTTCCCCCCAAAATTAAAAACAAAGGACCTTAACAGTAGTTTCTCCTAAAATGGAGGCATCTTAGGTGATTGTATAGAAAAGCAAGTGGGTGGGTTTTTATTTTTTATTTTTGTCAATCTTGTGGAATTGCCTTTTGGAAAAAGCAAAGCTACAATATAAGGGGATTATGACCAGCTGATTCCTATGATCCTGTCCCCAGTAAAAGGTTGTAGCATTTCTCTGGTATTTTCTGATTCAAAAATATGTTAAACACTTAGTGAGAAATATTTTCCTTTCTTGACATTCTGTGCTTTCCACAGGCCCACTCATGGTGATTGTGGAATTCTGCAAGTTTGGGAACCTATCAACTTACTTAAGGAGCAAGAGAAATGAATTTGTCCCCTACAAGGTATGTCATTTCCTAACTCAACTCTGGCTACATTGTAAAATGGAGGAAAATTCAGAGCGGTACAGATTCAATTTTTTGTTAAAATTCTGTGAAAAACTTGTGAGGAATCTTCTTGAATTACCTCTTGAGTGTTGTAACCTCCTCTTTTACCTTCTGGGGGCTCTAATCTTCTCATGTTTTATTTTTGTGACTTTAATCTACTGACCCATTATAGATGGGGCCTGAGGAAGGGAGAAGGTGGGCGTAGTTACGGATAGGGACAGTTCTGGATTAGTTTCTCTCTCCCCTATTTGACCCTGGTGAGTGGAAATCGCTCTGTAAAGAGCACTCTAATATTAGAAGTGTGTCTGAGTGAAACTTGAAATAAGGCATTTAGTTCTGTGAGCTAAAAAAAAAAAGGAGCTAGACTTGGTGGAAGAAAATCTATTATGTAGAACACTTGTCTAAAATTTTCATAATCTTGACATTGATGTCATTCTGGTCTGCTTTTTAATAGTTACAATTGTTTCCAAAGCTTACTACATTTTAGAGATCCATTTTGTAGTCGAGGAGTTTGTTCACGTGTGTTGTTTTTTGTGTGTGTTTTTTACAGACCAAAGGGACACGATTCCGTCCAGGGAAAGAATACGTTGGGGAAATAACCATGGACCCTAAACGCCGCTTGGACAGTATCACCAGCAGCCAGAGCTCAGCCAGCTCTGGATTTGTGGAGGAGAAATCCCTCAGTGATGTGGAGGAGGAGGAAGGTACCTGCCATTGCTTTCTCCACACATCACTCACGCTCTTGTAGGAACAGACAAGGTGACAGGGTGTAACGAGAGATTTTGCCAAGGGAAAAGTCCAACACTACCCAATATTTGAATTTCTAGACTGGCTCCATTTAGTCTCCGAAAGGTGGAGTGTGGAAGCAGGTTAGGCTGTAAGACAAAGCCTGGCTAGCCTGAGAAATCTCAAACCCCAGGAGAACTGAGCAATAGGCAACTGTCAAACCAATGCTCTTAAAATATTGGCAGGAGAGACTCAGAGCTGTGTTCTAGAAGGGCAAAGGAGGCTCTCTCTGGTGGCTAATCAGCTTCCCTGTTGCCCAAAGCAGTTCAGCCCCACACTGATTACTTCACCAGCACAGCAGAAGTTCAGTTAGTTATACCCAACCTTCTCCAAGGCAGTGTAGGGGGCATCTGTTGTTTCTATGCCACCCTACCTGGCTTATCAAGTCTTCCTTTCACCCACACTTCCTCAGAGGAGTCTTGGTAAATACACCTTTCTTTACCCAGTTATGCTTCCTAGGATAATGTAGGGCTCTTTCTGAGTGGTGCTGTGTTCCCAGCCGAACTTCCAGGATTTCTTCCGACTCCAGGATACACCATATATCCGCTTCCCTCAGAAGGAGCAGAGGGAGCTCCATGGATATAGAGACAGGGCTTCCCGACATCTGCCTCCTTTTGAGGCATGAGCTCTAAGTAATCTAATCATGAAATAGTGGGAGAAGACACTCACTATTTCCCTTGACCTGAGGCCATGGGTAGTACTGAAATCCAACTTCTTTCCCTTAGAAGCCTGGCAGGCAGTGTGAGGCTGGACGGTGGTCTAGAAGAGTATGGGAAGGTTGTCTAGACCTCACGTAACCGGACCCACCCTGAGTGGAGCCATCTCTGCCCTATCCTTCTCTCTCACAACATGGTAGCCAGTGAGCTGGAAACCCAAGGGATTGAGGTAGTAAGTTGGAGTAGAAGGAGTGTAGGATTTTCCCTCCATTTCTTCATTTGGAAAATGAAGGGTTTTCACTAATTATTCACAGACAGCTCTCTGGGTCTAAGTGTAAAAAGTCATTTGAGAAAATGGTTTGAAGCCCTTTTAATACTTACAAGGTTATTACAGTTGACTTTTCATTTACTTTGGTAATTGTCTCCAGGAAAGTAGCCATGTCTTATCTTATCTGATGAAAGTTAAGAGATGTTGAAACACCCATTAATGTCTTAGTGTTTATTTGTACCAGTTGCACGGATGTAAATACCACCAATTTACGTAAATTTGTCATTTCTCTTCACGTTCGTATTATCTTTCATTCATATCCTTGAAGGAAGAAAGCATCCTTGTAGGCCAGGTTTATTGTGTTTACAGCACTTTCTCATATTGAAAGTGAGAGAAGTAAATATATTTCTGGTATTTTTAGTTATCCGTTGTAGATTATAATTTGACCTTTGTTCTTTGTCCCAGGACAAAGCCTGGAGAGAAAAGATTCAGTGACCCTGAATATTGTTGTTTTATTTTTAGAGTTCTTGATATGAAACTATTGTTTACCCCTCCGGGTACATGAAAAAAACAACAGTTTAGAACAGTACATTTGAAAAAGTCCTCTTTCACCCTGGTATCTGCACCAATTTCACCTCTATTCTGTCTCCTGGATTTGCTGGTTCAGTTTGGCTGAAATGGAAAAACTGTTTTTGCTAAAGGGTATGATGAAGGCTAATAAACTGGTGTTCAGAAAATTTACAGAAGATAGAGGCATTTTCTTTCTTCTTGTATTTCCCGAAATTTAACTCCCACGTTATAAAATGAAGACTATTCTAACAAACTTATAAACAAATAGCTTCTGGTGGAAATACTGATCTCTGTCTCCTGCTCCTTCTGGCAGTTTCTGAAGACCTGTACAAGAACTTCCTGACCTTGGAGCACCTCATCTGTTACAGCTTCCAGGTGGCCAAGGGCATGGAGTTTTTGGCGTCTCGGAAGGTAAGACAGCTCAAGGGGAAACAGTGCCTCTTCAGTTCATAGATTTGGAAATAAGACCCCCAGTGCCAGGCATTGGTGTTTGTTTGGGACTGTAATTCATTCACTACTCCTGGGATCATGAAGAGACTCTATTGCGGAGGCCCCTTTTTCTGCTTTTTAAGGGGATATAGAGATTTCACGAAATTAATTTATGTGATTTTTGAGCCTCTGATTATTGAGCATCTCCGAAGGGCAAGCAGTCTTCTAAGCACTAAGGATACTGTCTGAGCAAGCAGGCAAAACTTCTAGCTTCATGGAGTTTGCATTCTCACGGGTTGAGCGAACAGTAAATATCAACAGGTAAAATACATAGTAGGTCAGATGGGGGTAAGTGCTGTGGGGAAGAATAAGCAGGGAAGGTTATGGAGTGTGCAGGAGTGGCATACTGTGTGCGCATGCTCCTATGTTTGTGTACACCAGTTTTAAACAAAGTGGCCAAGGAAGGCTTTATAAGCATATGACATGTGAGCAATGACCTGGAAGAGGTGAGGGACTGAGCCTTGCAGATATGTTTATTTTTAATTTATTTTACATTCATCACCATCCATCAAGAAGTATTTGTTAGTGGTATAATTAGAAACCAGGAAGGACAGGCTTCAGATGAGAGAGATTAAAAGAGCTAAAATTAGAAAAGTAGGCCAAACAAAGGCTGAGGTGGGACGTGACAAGTTACAAATATTCCAAAAGTTGTAAACACCAAGGAGGGAGCAAGGTTGGCTGAAGTCACCTCTCTGGCAAAAGGTACAATGGGTGGTTTGACATTAAAAAAAAAAAATCATCAAATTAAGTGTCAAGAAAAATTGTTGGTTGGCAAAACGCATTTGCTGCTGCAGCCTCCTGGGGGAAGAAAGACTAAGTTTTGGGTTTTTTGGTTTGTTTATTTGCTTTTTGTTTTTTCTAAATTAGAGTAAACTTCCTAATCCACTTATTTTTCTGAAATGTAAAGGTCATGACAGCTTTCAGAGCTTCAGGATCTCAGCTATATCGGTGGGGAGCTCTTGTCTTCCCTCCCACAGGGAAGGCAGAGAAGCAGGCTCTTACAGGATTTTCCCAAAGACGAAGGCCCTTTGCCCTTCTGATTTTTTAAAATTACCTTTTTTAAGGCCAGAGCCTGCCATTTAGTCAGGGCTCCTTTCAGGGACTGGGCAGGGAATGGGGAGGAGGGAGATCCCTTAGCTTCCCTTGCATCTACCCAGTGATTCATTGAATATCACTTGGTTGTTGGGCTAAAAAAGGAAGCTCTTAGGTTGGAAAGAAAGTAGGGAGGGCTGTCTGTTTTTTGGAATCCCCTGTTGCTCAGGCATGCTAGATGATGTGCTTTTAAATATGCCTCATTCAGAGGGAAGAACTACACTGACGTGAGGTGTGAGGTGCAGGGCGGCCAGTAACACGTGTGCACTGGCCTAAGAATTCGCATCTACGCCTTTTATTCACTTAAAAATGTTCCCCTTGACTCTGATTCTCTCACCAATCGACCAGGTGGAGCTAACGCTGCTCAGTAGTAGGAAGTTAGGTGAAGTTGGGGGATATAGAGAAGGGAGAAACGGGAGCGGGAAAGACTAGAAGGAAAGCCGAGGAGAGTTGGTTTTCCTTTTCAGTGCACCAGAGGATCAACCTGGCTAGTGAGAAGCTGACATTGCTTCTGTGGGCCTTTATGATAACCCTACACTTTGAAAACAGGATGAGCCCCACTGGGAACTGTTTATCAGCGCCAGTGCAGCTTCAGTTACATATGGAATGGGGAAACCAACAAAGGCACCAAACCAGTGAGAGCCCCTTGTTCCTGGTTTCCGTGCATTCATTCAAAATAAACCCCATTCTGGGGCGTCCCTTAGAATAACATGTTTCAACCGTATATGGAGCCGGGCAAAAGGGATGTGTGGATGTGACCAGAAACACATTCTTAATTGTGTCCAAGAGAAGTCTATTTATGACTCCCTCATCATACTATAACTTAATTATTTAACTCCAAAATCTGGGGCTGTTTATGGAATAAGCAGATGTGCGTCTCAGCGAACCTCAGACTTTTCCCCTGAAGTGTTGATAAAAGATATTAACCTGGTGCTTGTTAATCAGTTGGTTTTCTGATGTGGGTGGGTTTTTTTTTGTGTGTGTGTTTTTTTTTTAAAGCATGAGGTCACAACAGATGTAGAAAAGATCAGCTGTGCTGAAATCTAAAGCACACACGATTCTTTTTGCAGTGTATCCACAGGGACCTGGCGGCACGGAATATCCTCTTGTCGGAGAAGAACGTGGTTAAAATCTGTGACTTTGGCTTGGCCCGGGATATTTACAAAGACCCTGATTATGTCAGAAAAGGAGATGTAAGTTTCAAAGATGAACCTAGTGACCTGTTAATCTGCAGAATTCAAACTCCTCTTTGCAAACTTCAGGACCTGTGTTCAGGAGGAAAGGAAGTGTTTTTCCTTTTAGAAAGTTGCTAAGTTGGAATCTGATTCCTTGTCTTCTACCCGCTTAGGCACGCCTCCCTTTGAAATGGATGGCCCCAGAAACAATTTTTGACAGAGTGTACACGATTCAGAGTGACGTGTGGTCCTTTGGTGTCTTGCTCTGGGAAATATTTTCCTTAGGTAAGTCACTTTTCTTGGTCCTTCCATCCAGACTCCAAATAAAATGATAAATCAGTGGCCCGCAATCACCTTTCCCTGTCTTATATTCAACCTTTATTGGGTGAAACTTACTCGCAAGCTTTGTGTTGTAAAACCTTAAAAAAAGAAAGAAAAAATATATAGGTGATCAGTATGTTCAAGAAGCAGGTTCGGGGCTTTCTATAAGAGAACATCAAATAACAAACATCCCATTCCTGTCTTATTCTAGGTGCTTCTCCATATCCTGGAGTAAAGATTGATGAGGAATTTTGCAGGCGATTGAAAGAAGGCACTAGAATGAGGGCCCCTGATTATACCACACCAGAAATGTAAGATTTTAAAAGTATCCTTTGATTCTCTTTCTTTTTTCACAAAATCTCCCTGCCTAGAAGACATTATATGTACCTCTTCGCGGCCCAGTTTGTGTCCTACTTCTTTCTTGTAGTCCCTCCTTGAAAATCTCAAGCACAAAGCTATCCCTTCTTGAAATGACAGCATGATATCTATACCATTCAATTAGTTTTTTAAAAAATTATATCTTGATCTGTAATTTTCCTTTCTGTACACATCTGATGCTCCAAGTGTAGGGGAGCACCAAGTGTCTTTTGTATCCCTATTGAGCATCTTGGCTCCTGGTAGACTCTTTGTAACTGTTTACTTATTCAAGTGCTTGTTTTCAGCATCAGACCAGGAGGAAAGAGGCAGTTAATAACATCAGTGTTTTGCTTTTCTAGGTACCAGACCATGCTTGACTGCTGGCATGGGGAGCCCAATCAGAGACCCACGTTTTCAGAGCTGGTGGAACATTTGGGAAATCTGTTACAGGCTAATGCTCAGCAGGTTTGTGACCTCCATCCAATAAACTTCTTTAAAGAGTACTTTGGTGTCTAGGACTTCTCTACTGCCTAGACCTTGTCATGGCCACCATGCTATATTCTCAGCCACTGAATAAGGAGCTATATTCTTTTCAGCTTCTAGTCCTAATTCATATCCTGGGAGCAGACCACTCTTATTCCTACCAATGCATCTTTTTAAGCCTTCAGATGCTCTTCTAAAGTAACAACAACAACAAATTTGTAAAGTTGATGTAAAGAATATCAACAATGGGTGGAATTTCAAGGAATTTTTAATATATTCTGCAGGCAAACACACATAGCTTTATTTTCCCCCCAGTAAAAATCCGAGGCCTCCATAACTTCCATGGGAGGATTTTAGACTTGTAGCCTTTACCACTAGAAAGCTAATCTGTAGTCAACACCTCTTACTACAATGAATGGAAGCCAATTTCCTCCTGCTTTTCTTTTGAACAGCTGGGGGACAGTGGATCAAATCTGTCTTTATCATGACCCTTTCAAACATTTAAAGGTATCATCTTGCCCTTTTTTCTTTTTTTTTATGAAATAATGTTAAATTGGGCGACCTTTGCTTTTAGAAGACCTGTTTTCCTGCACATTTATTGCTTTTCTCTAGACCGAGATCAGTTTTTCCATTGCCTTGGAATGTAGAGGCTAAAATTGGACAACATGCCCTTTAAAGGTCCTGGCCTGTGTGGGTAGGGCTTTGTGAACAAATGATTTCTCAGCTCTGCGGGGCCCTGCGTGTTCTGTGGCTGCATCTGTGCCCACAGCCTGCTTGGTCTTCATTGTGGCCACAGTGCTCGGTGTCCCCTTACCCATCTGCTTAGTCATGAGCTCCTTGCGTATACTTTCATGCGCACATCCCTTTCAAGTGCCCTTTTGTTTTGACAAGACATTTTTAATGTTGTCTTAAAGGTTTACATTTCCGACATGAAGGCAACAGACCCCATAACCAAGAAGCTCCCTCGGCCTTTGTTTTTTTTCATGAAAAGGCCCTGGGAGGACTGCAGCCATAACAATAGCACTCTGTGTTTATTGTTTCAGGATGGCAAAGACTACATTGTCCTTCCGATATCAGAGACTTTGAGCATGGAAGAGGATTCTGGACTCTCTCTGCCCACCTCACCTGTTTCCTGTATGGAGGAAGAGGAAGCGTGTGACCCCAAATTCCATTATGACAACACAGCAGGAATCAGGTACTATATATGGCCAACCTCCCCTGTTCATGGGGGGGGCGGGGGGTGCTTCAAGGTCACCTTGGGGAGGGGGTGGAAGGAAGACATGTCATAAAGCTGCTGCGTCCCACTTCCACATTAAACCGTAGCCCTGAGGCTAATAGAAAGAGAAGCGCTCCTTGAAGAGGGCCCGGGTAGGTGCGTTTCCGCCCATCTGTAGCCCACATTGCTGCTGTAGCTCTTCCTTTTCAGAATTGTAAGCCCTGCAGCTGCAAATAGCTGGAATGCCACAGTTTGTTAATCTCCAGAAAGAGAGACCAATTTTACAAAGACATCTGTATTTAAATTATCCCCATGTACTCTTTTATTAATGTGAATTAAATGGCTCAGGAAAGACTCAGGAAGGAGGAGTTCTGTGCCTATATGAAAACACACTTGGGCCTCTGGGGCTAGGATGCAGTGTGCCAGGGGGATGTGCCCTGGATTAGACCGGACAGCACATCTTCAGAAACCCCTCCCAAGTCTGATTTTCAGGGTTTTATTTGCATAATGAGACTTCTGGGCTTATTTAAAACACGTGCACTGCAGTCCCACCCTGGTTTGTAAAGGGGTTCCGAAGGCAGCTTTCTTTTTTCTGTCTCCCAGCACCTGTGCGTGAGGAAAAAGTTGATATGGTTTTCTACATTCTGATATGAAAATTGCCTTTTGCTAAGCCCGGGACTACTTCCCTTTGCTTTGTTTCTTCTCACACCACTTTGGGTGTTTTCCTCCTCCAACTGGACCCGCTGACAGCATGGGCCCAAGCTGCCCTGGTGTTGTGCTGTGGCTAAGGGAGGGATGCAGGCCTTGAAGCCCTTGGCCAGGTTGCCACATAGAAGAGGAGGAGGCACCTGGACAGTTTGTGCCATGGAATCGCACTGGGCAGCGGAAACTCTGTTGAGAGACAAGAAAGCTCAGAGGGGTTAGAGGCCAACAAGTGAACTGCCCATTCCTTTTTGTCAAGGACTCTTGGCATTTTTCAAACAGCTTTTCCTTCTATTTTCTGATTTTGCACACATGATAACTCTGTGTTAGGCAAGGTAGAAACTGTTACCTTTTTTGATGTAGATATTGAACGTGCGGCTCAGAGGGATTACCTGGGGGAATACAATATTGTGATTCAAGATCCAGATAGAAGTGGCGTGGACGCCCAGGTCAGCCCCTTAGCAGCTGTGTGCTCTGGGGCAGATCTTCACTGGGACTGAGGCCAGATCCCTGGTGTTCGAAAATGATTGTTTGGAGAATTACCGATATAACGTATTTCCAAGGGAATACACTGGCACTTAGGGAGCACTCCATAAATTATAGTTCTTACGTGAGCTGCTTAAATCACATCCCCAGGATGAATCCAGTTTCTCTGATATCGAACGCAGTGCCGCTTTCTCCCTCACCAAAGAGGGGCTGTCAGAGAGAACGAGCAATGGAATGAACGCCTACAGTTCCACTCCCGAGTTTTTAAAAAAAGTCCTAGTTCAAGTTCAGCTGGCCTTCTGGTGTGGTAATTATTCCCGCAACACTATTGCCTTCTCGTTGATCGGAAAGCCATTTGATCCTGAAGTCTGTTCCTTAGGTTTTCTGTGACCAGGTGGAATGAGGACCAAGTCGGCAGCATCTTGGCTGGCGTGGGCGCTTTGCATATGGTGCTGAGAGTGGATGAAGTCATGTTTGTGTAATGGAAGTGCCAAACGCGGTGCAGGATCTGAGACAGGGCTGCTAACATTTATCCCCAGAAGCGTGGACAAATGTGACATCACACTCCAAGCACAGGCCTGGCTTCTATTTTCTGCCTGTGATTTTTGAATTGGCCTTTCCAGTTCAGTTTCTCTTTTATCCAGCCATAATTTGAAAAATAAAATGGAAATTGGAATCTTTTGTCTGCATGCCCTCCCCAACCGCCTCCACCTTTTCTCCTTTTATAAAAATAAGACTCCACGGTCACATTTTAATCATCTGGGTTCAAAGAAAGGCGGAATGGAGGCATCTGCACACGGCACACTTCATTTTGTGCTTCTGCTTCCCTGGGGAGAGAGAGCCGAGGCGGGGGTACCCCTCAGCGGACTTGTTTCCTCCTCTCCCAAATTTCCAGTCAAGTAGAAAAGCTGAGGAGTCTTTCTCACTTGCTTCCTCCCTCTACTTTTCAATTCCATTGCATTATAAGTAGAGCTGGACAGAGGCATCACTGTGGGAGCCAACCTCATGATTTGCTGCCTGGTTAAAAATATGTGTTCAGCATTTATTTAGAGAGAGGCTGAGAGGTGTGCGGGGGGAAGGGTGGGGAGGAAGGACCACCGGTGGCTAGACTTAGCTTTGTCTCTTGTTTCCCCTGCGGATCAGCTCTGGCCCCGGGTTTGCATGCTTCTTGCAAGAAAACACATATTAATTGCACTCATCTTTCTTTGAAGGCAGTTTGGGGACCATCTGCGGTTGCTCCATCATTTCCCCTGGTAGTTTCACGTCCCACTCCAAGCAGCTTATCAAAGATTTCTTTTCAGTTCTCTCACAGAGAAAGGTTTTGGCACACAGCATCTTCTTCATTTTGGTTAATTGCTGGTGATGACTAAATGTTCCTTGAAGATTGATGCTTGGGACAGTCTGCTAGCTAGAGGTTTCTGAATTTGGCTCTGATTTTAGACAGCTTGAAGCAAAACTGTCCTTTTTCCATCTTTTGTCTATCTTATACCCCAGAGACCCCTTCTCCCCACCAAGTCTCATCACACAGTCTGGCCACACATGGGAGAGAGCAGTGCTGTGCACATACTAGGTACTTAATAAAAACCTGAACAATCAATCATATGCACTGCTCTCTTCTTCTTTTTCCTTCCTGGTACTTTTCCAAGGGAGTTAACGTAGAGCAGGGTAAAACAAAACAAAAAAGCCAACAAAAACAACAACAAAAAACACCACCTACATGGGCTTTAGTGTCTAATACCAAAGTGTGAATCCATTGTGTTCTAGCCATTTCCTCCCTAAATAACACACACACACACACACACACACACACAACACACACACACACACACACACACACACACACACACACACAACCTGTTTTGTAGTTTTGGGAGGAACAAATGCAGCAATATCCATGAAAATGCCTTTTTAACTGTGAGGAGCCATCAACTTTTGGAGTTACTGGGCTCAGAAGTCAAGGAGCTGCCCTTTCTAAGGAAGCGGCGTTATTGCCCAGGGTCACCAATTTTAGTTGATTCTGTATCCTGAATATCTCTTGAATCTGTCCGCTTCTCCCAATCCTGTAAGCGTCACCTTTCTTTAGGCTCCTCTTCTTTCTCCCAGATGAGTGGGGTTGCCCCCTCATTGGTGTCACTGGCTCTGGTCTTACCCTCCTCAACCCTAGAGAGAGGTGCTGTTTGTGAAGATGCCACATGACGATGGTTGAGGAGCATCTAGCACAGAGCCTGGCACATGATGGGATTCCTGAATGAGGGAGTGAATGAATGGTTGACTATGCTTCCAATAGTTTTGAGCAACTGCCACTTTTCGGGACTGAACTTAGGAGAAGGGGGCTTTTTCTGTCTCCACGTATATCGTGTCTTGTTTCTTGTGGAGATTCCTGAGTGAGGATGTCACTGTGAACTTCACTGGCTCCTCTCTGTAGGAGGAAGAACCAGCCTCCTGGGGCAGGAGAGGGAAACTTGGTTTTAATTCTCTTCCTTTGGCCCAAGCGAGTCCTCACTCCACTCATTCACAGAAAACATAAGGAAACACAAGTTAGTACATCCAGAAGGTTGCCTACGGTGGAAAGCATGCTAGGAAAAGAGTGAAGACTGAATTTGCTGTCCCTCCCTGCGAAAGGGCTCCCCTGCTCACCACTCAGGCTGTCAGTGATGTTAACCAGATGGCTCAGACTCACCCAAAGTCACAAGGCAGGGAAGGAGCACCCCCTGGACACGGGAGATGTTGTCTGACAAGTCCCAGTCTTTGGGCTCCTGAGGGAAACTGGCACCCTTTTGAATACAAAGGAGGAAAAGAAGCTTTGGTTAATAGACCATCATTCTTTCTAAGAACACTTACCATGTACCATTATTTACCACCTCATTCATCCTCCTTATTCATCTTTCTGATTGATGGAGGGAAGGCTATGCCAATACATTTTAAAGATGAAGCAACAGAGGCATAGAAATATTTATGACGTTCCCAAGTTTGTGTAGACTTTGAAATAGACAAAATATCTCGTGACTCGTGTATCACTGCCCTTTCCTAAGACCAGCAACTCTGAGGGCTGGAAATAGGGGACAGTGAGACTGAGCCTGCCCCTGTCTACACACGAAGCTGCTATTATATGTAGACAGAGGTGATTATCTTCCGATCCTGCTGGGTTCAGCACCCTATAGTGACATCTCAAGGCGTTTCCCTTACCCATCTTCCATTGGACGTTTGCTCTGTAGACATTATCTAGAAACATTTTCCTAGGACATGGCCAGGAAGCTGTGAAACACTCTCTGATACGGCGAGAACTCAGTGGAGCAGTTGCATGCAACGAGGAAGCCAAGCAGAAGGCAGTCGATCACTTAATTTGCTGCTGTTCTCTTTAGGCCAGCCCTGGACCTCAGAAGTATAATTCAAAGGAACAGGGGCTCATCTGGGCCCCTCAGTGAGATTATACTTTTAAATGGACTTTCACAGGAAATTAAGCCTTTAATGTGTGCTAGCAGAGAAAGATTTTGTTTTGTTTTTCTTTTCCAAAGGATGTTTTGAAGGTCACGGTTAAACTTGTGGTTGAAAGATAATGAATTTAGGTATCACTTATGGTATCTGTAGCCAAATATACCACCACTAAAATATAAATATTTGTTCTTTTACAGTCAGTATCTGCAGAACAGTAAGCGAAAGAGCCGGCCTGTGAGTGTAAAAACATTTGAAGACATCCCATTGGAAGAACCAGTAGTAAAAGTAACCCCAGATGTAAGTACATCTTTTAAAAATAGTCTTAGAAATAATACAAAGGATGAAACATTAGCTAAATAAATATTAGCCTAAGCATGAGAGTCTTGGAAGCTCATTATAAGGCTTTCCTTGAGGGTCTGTGTCATGGGGTCACTACTGAAATGAAACTGAGGCCCCCTTGCTTTTTCTATAAGTAAAGCTCCTGGCTCAAGGTTCAAGATATTCCACCTTCATGCCCAGTTACAGTCAATGTAAATAGTATCACTGAAAAAGAGGGGTGGAAATGGGCCCCTCAGCTTCTTTGTCCTAAATTCTTCTCCTTTTCCCGGTCTGGGTCTACTTCTAGGATGCAGTTGCTCCCTCTTTCAGCTTGAAAAGTTTCTGGCTATGACACCTTTACCTCCCTCTGCAGAACATTGGAACATGTTGTCTGATAAATGGGTTAAGAAATCGGTTTAAGTAAGTGGTAGGTCAGTGTACACACTCAATCAACTGTGGCATCTCATTGTCTTTTAAAAAGGACAACCAAACGGACAGTGGTATGGTTCTTGCATCAGAAGAGCTGAAAACCTTGGAAGACAGAAACAAATTAGCTCCGTCTTTTAGGTAAGGTTCAGCCCAATAGAAATGACAAATTTCAACAGGCATTGTAGGCAGGAGCCTAGAACTTTCAATGTAGGTGCAGGGTTTTCACGTTTTGTGTCTTTGTTGGTTGGGAAAATTTGCATCAACCTAAATAATAAAGAATTTAAACAAATAAAACAATTAAAATAAGTGATAAGTCTAAAAAAGAATTTGAAATAAATTAGAGGATTTTTAGAAGATTTGTCTGGTACTGGCTAAATCACAAAGAGGCCATTATTAAAATCTTGTGGACTCTGAAGAATTTTCAAACCTGTATATAAATGGTGCATCTGTTCTTAAGAAGCGTGACATATAAATAAGATAATATCAATTTGTTTAAGATACTTAACTATTATTGGCTGAGTTTGCCTACATAATTGCGGGAAAAATCCTAACTTTTGTTTTGAATATCCTTTTCTCCATGTAGTTCCCTAGGAACTTGTAGTTGTTTTACATAGATGTGCCTAACAGATAAATGAAAATCTGTATTTAAAAGAATAATAGGCTGCAGAGTAGTTATTTATTTGCTAGTGGGTTCATTCTAAGAAAGAATAGAGAAGATTTTTATCTACTTATAATCTGTTGTATAAAATGGGAACACCCCTGGGTTATTGAGTGATGTTCATGTTGAAAAAAAACCACACATTAAAATGTGCAATTGTGCTATTTTGTTTGCCTTAAGGCCAAGGTAAGAAACTGTGAGAGCCAATCATGTTTTATTCACTGATTCAAAATATATTTATTCAGCAATAACTATGTGCCAGTTACCATGCCATTGCCTGAGACACTAAACTTATTTTATTGGGATTGGATTGAAAGAAAAAATTGCATTTCTAGTGATTTGAAATCACTTTTACGCCATATACGAGCACGGAGTTAATAAAATCCATTTTGCAACTTTTAACATGAATAATTTGGTAAAGCACTTATTGAGGGGAAAACCCACATCTCAGAATGGCTTGAGAAATGTAAATCTTGACATTTTAGGTCAACATAGCCTACACGTCTCAGCTTTGACATAATTATCATCTGTCATGATTCTACACCATTGAAAACATTCTCTTCATGCTGCTGAGTGATCCAGGTCCTCAGTCCTTCCAAAGAATGTGATTTTGATGAGTAAAAAAGCAGTTTCTGACATGTCTGACTTGATTGCACACACACACACACACACACACACACACACACACTTCAAGTTATTAAAGTTTAATACTGCTCGAGAACTCTATTGACACCATACACATGCCTTGTAATTCCCTAGTTGACAGTGTGGGGAAAGCACAAGTGGACTTTCAGAACATCCCAATTTCCTTTTATATCATGAAAGAGTCCCTTTGGCTCCTATCATTGTATACAAACCTGTCACTCCACAAGGCCATAAAAATGCTCCATTGGTTGGAGCCTTTGCATAAGTCAGGAGACTGCCTTTCATCTCATCTCAGGCTTGAAAGATTCGGACCTGAATAAGAGGACTTATCTGCAAGGACAAATTCATGCTAGTACTGAAAATAGACAATGTCTGAGTAAACCTGATATGTTGATTAACAAGTGGGAGAGATAGGGGCTGGTGTCTCCAGGGAGATTACAGCCCACATAGGGGTGGTAATGGGGTTTGGGGAAGAAGCCAAAGAACTGCCTTCTCTCTGCCAACTTATGCAGTTGCCATTTTTTCCACAGTGGACTGATGCCCAGCAAAAGCAAGGAGTCCGTGGCATCTGAAGGCTCCAACCAGACCAGTGGCTACCAGTCTGGGTATCACTCAGATGACACGGACACCACCGTGTACTCCAGCGAGGAGGCAGAACTTTTAAAGCTGATGGAGATTGGACCGCAGGCTGGCAGTGCAGCCCAGACTCTCCAGCCCAACGCTGGGACCGCACTGAGCGTTCCTCCTGTTTAAAAGGAGGCACCCAAATCCCTACTCCTGGAAATCACATGCGAGGTGCTGCTCAGATTTTCAAGTGTTGTTCTTTCCACCACCAGGAAGTAGCTACATTTGATTTTCATTTTTTTAAAAAAAGGACCTCAGACTGCAGGGAGCCAGCCCTTAGGCATTTCCTGACAAGATGCCTGTGACCCAAGAATGTGTTGTGTCTCCTCCCAGTGTTGACCCTATTCTCTTTTTCATTCATTTAAAAAACATGTATGATGCTCCGTGTTGTGGGTCTCCCCCAGGTTATAACAGGAGAAGTTCAAGAAATGGCTTCGTCCTCCAAGAAGTAGCCATACCTGGGGAGTTGACACCTCTGTAAAACAAGAGCTGATCCAGGCAGTGGACGTGCTGTTGGTGTTGAAGATGGGACAGACCGTTAGGGTTGAGGCCATCTGAGAGGCTTTGTTTAGGATGTGGGTCCTGAGCCAAGTCTTACATGTGGGGTTTGGACTGCTAGAAAGGAAGATGTCGGCTTGCTTTGAGAGCCTACTGGAGCCTGCACATGCATTGTGTTGGCTCTGGTGGAGGTGAGCATGGGGTCTGCAAGGGAATGTAAAGGCTTCAGACGAACTTACTGGTTTTAGAAGGTTGCGTGCTCTTCCCGGTTGGGCTAAATGAGAGTTCCTTGTGCTGTTTCCGACTCCTAATGAGAGTTCCTTCCGGACTCTTACGTGTCTCTTGGCCAAGCCCCAGGAAGGAAATGATGCAGCTCTGGCTCCTGGTCTCCCAGGCTGATCCTTTATTCAGACACCACAAAGGAAGGACATTCAGAAGAGGCCCCCTGTCGTGCTGAAGAATTCTGACTGTACAGACCAGCTTCGGGTTTCTTCTGGCTGAATACTCACATACTGTCCCGACGTGATACGCCCGAGCCTGAATGCAGCAGGTTCAGTGTCAAGCTGTGGGGTCAAAGCCTCAGAAAGGAGTTTACCCTTCTGTTCCTCTCTCCCCCCGCCCCTCCCGTTCACCCCGACTAGTCAGTGTTTCAGTAATTTGGCCTCTACACCCTAGTCAACGCTAATTTGGTTTGTTCACTCTCTGAATAATTATTAGTCAGATTTCAAAATTATTTTATAGCCCAAGTTATAACACCTATTGTATTGTGTAGACTTTTAACATGTAAAGCTATTTCTACTGGTTTCTGCCCTTGTTGTTGCCTTCTTAAAAAACAAAATGTATTTTTCATTTGGTACCATAGTGTGAGATGCTGGGAACCATGACTCTAAAACATGCTATGGCACATATATTTATAGTCTGTTTATGTAGAAACAAATGTAATATATTAAAACCTTATATTATATATAGGGAACTTTGTACTATTCACATTTTGTATCAGTGTATGTAGCATAACAAAGGTCATACTGCTTTCAGCAATTGATGCCATTTTATATATATAAAAAAAGACACCGAAAAACTTGAAGGAATCCATTTGCAAGGTTGACTGTATCTATCATTTCTCTCACTTCTGAAATGAAGAAGGGGAATCAGACCTAATTTTTATGTGGTGGTTTTTCATTTTTACTTGTTCCCTTATTCTTCTTATAAAGGATATTTTCATAAAATGTTTATATACTTTATAAACCAATAAATGTATTCTTAGTAAAAACATACAATGTTATAATATTATCCTAACTATTTTGAGGGCACATACTTCTTCCTGACCCTCCCTCTTCTTCTTCAGGACACAGATAACTCACGCACATGTGCGCTCTCATTGTATTCCAAGTACTTTTGGGAATCTGAAAATATGGACTGGGAGATATATGTGCTGAGTTCTCTAACAGTATTTGTAGCCAACCGTGAAAATCAGAGGGTGAGAGGCCCCGAGATAGGTGGCCAGACCCAAGCAGTGCAGGGAAGCATGGGGCATATGGATAGTCTTCCATATTTTACTCTAGACTTATGGTGTCAGAACATCAGATCCAATGATGTCATTTCCAATGATTGATTTTGCCTGAATTCAGTAAGTGGAATTATCTAATAAGTCATTGACACCAATGAGTATCCCTATTCTTTGTGATACAAGATTTTATACAAGATTTTGTTTATATAGTCAAATATGCCTATCTTTCTAAAATGGTTTCTAGGTTTTTTAATCTTATTGAAGAAGGTCTTCCTAATTCTAAAATAACCCCAAATTCTAAATTTTCATTTTTTTTACATTTAAATCATTTGGGATTTATTTTTGTATATGGAGTGAGATAGGGGTCTAGCTTTGTTTTCTTAAAGCAGTTGTCAACAATGGCAGCACCATTTATTAAATACTAGAGGCCTAGTCTGGAAGGTTGTTCAGCTGTCCGGTCTAATTAACATATTATGCTTTTATTATTATAGATTCCTCTTTCCCCTCCAACCCCCCAGGGTTGGGAAAATAAACATTGCAGCACTTTTCAACCCTATCATCTCCCTGAGACATTCTGCACAACTTTATGGTTGAGAGGGTGGCTATGGATGTGTGGTTCCTGGGCACAGCACTTACAAATTGGGCCATTGTCTGGGGTTAGTGGATTGGGGTCTTCTGACAGATGTTGTGAAACTGTAGGTCAGGCCTGGCCTCTCCTTTTGCGTTATTACAGTGTCATCCAGTAAGTGAATAGGAGAAGAGCCTAGGTTATTTAAGATAGAGGAGGCCACCGAAAAAAACAGAATTTTCTTCATTTTAGGAAAAAGAGATTTTGTTTCTCATGAGCGGCCCCTGGCACTGTTTCCAATGCCAGGAATTTGGATTCAGTTAAAACTTCACACTTTATAAAGAAGTACTTCCAGCGCCTCGGGCAGAATGATTAGGAGGTGAGGTTTGGCCTTCTCCTTCCTCTCTCTCTGTCTTCCACGCCCCTTGTTCTTAGCTCCTTTTTTCTCCTCATTCACCCCATGTGTTAAGAGAACTTTGTGACTTTCATATGTGTTTCCTGCATGGTCCTATTTTCAAAGCTTTAATTGTGTTTTAGATGAGGCCAGGACTGTCTCCCCTTGGCTCCTGCCCTCTCTCCTCTCTCCCTTTACTTGCTCTGTCCCTTTCCCTCCTCTCAAACTCCTCTGTCCCTTCACCTTCTGTTTCTCTCTTTGCACTGTTCTACTCCTCCACAACCTCCACCCTCACCTCCACCCCCAACTGCCCTTCTCCTCAATCACATCAACAGGGAAAATGAGAGTTCTAGGAGACGTAAGTCCATTACTCCTGGACTAGGCTTTCCTATTAATGCACATTTTTTTTGTCCTCTTCAGTGAAAGGAAAGAAGAAAAGCAAAAATCTCAAAGCCACAACTTTGTAGTTAACGGAACCCAGTTTCCCTGTCTCCCTTAGCTTGTCTTTCTTTCTGCCTCTTACTCAGATAAGGTTCACCAAGATGATAAAATGCAGGTAAAGCCGGGAAGCTAAAGCCTTGAAACAGTGGTTTCCATACATCTCTCCACATCTGCATGCTCTTCTCCCTTAATGGCAGTAGAAGCCATGGCCATGCCCTCCTGGGTGTGTAGTGAGCAGGGCTCAAGCTGGGGTTCTCATCTCTTCTTACAAAATTGCATTTGCTACATGAATCTCTTCCATGTCAGGGCTTAGACATGAGTGAAAATCTAGGCAGTCTTTGTGAAAGCAATTGTAAGCCCCCTTTCTTTTTGGGGGTAGGGGGACTACAGAATGATCTTAGGTGAGTAATGTACTTTATTTTGAATGAAGAGAAGTAGAGGAATCTGGGAAGAGCAACCCAGAAAGAAATTTAACAGCCAAGTTGGCCTGACATTCTGGAGGGAAAGTCGTAGGACATCCAAGCCCAGCAGAGGTCTGGCTCAGAGATAAGGATGCTGAGTTAGGAAAAAAGTTCCCTAAGAAAAAGGAAGACCACTGATAAGACAAGTGTTACAGTAAACTGTGATTGATATCAAGTGAACGTTAGTGAGAAGACCTCTAATTGTACCGTTCTTCACAATACAACACAAGGCCTTTATATAACTGCTAGACACCTGTACAGCAGCATTAAATTCAGCAGTGTCACTCATTTAGTTAGTTAGTTTGTTTAAAAATGAAAGAATAGAAATATATGGTTTAGTTGTTTATTTTGGCCCCACCCATCAGTTAGTCCAGGTACTGGAGAACCTGTGCTCAGTGTACTTACCTGTAGCTGGTGACAGCGAGCCCTCCTACCTTTACTGTTTGACACTCTCAGCTTTTAGATACATTGCAAAAGGAAAATGGCAGGGAATAAGAAAAATGGACTTTGCTCTATTTTTGACCCATTCTTTGCTCTGCGTGTGCTGTCCCTTTTTCAGAAAGTAACATTTTGGGGGAATAAATTCAGGAAAGTGGGTTGAGTTCTTTAGTATTGAATGTACTCTCGCGGCTGGACTCTCGGCCCCTGCGCAGCTCACAGGATATGGGTGTGGAATGACTCACCAAGAGCCCTCTGAACTGCTGCTCCGAGGAGAGGTTTAATGGGAGCCTGGCGCTGTGCTGTGTGGGTGATCTCTTTAAGCTGAAATGACTTATCCTGACAAAGGGGATCGAAAACATTCCACTCATTGCCACAGAGAGAACATAAATGGAAATGAAAATCCAGATGCCAAGTAGAGAATTCAAGCTGGATATACAGTGACTAAAAACATCCCACATTCATCCCCCAGGTTAACAAGAAAATTAGCAGACAGGATCCTGCAGCACATATTGGGAAAAGCAAGGCCTTCCATAGAACCAAGTACCAAAGACTCAGCCCTGAATAGCAAACTTTAAGTGAGTAATATTTTGTTTGTTTGTTGTTTGTTTATGTTTAATTCTACTTACAAAATGCTTACAATGTGCCAAATACTCTTTTGAAAAACTTACTAATATTAACTCAGTTAATTAATAGGCACCCTAGCTCTAACTGGTTTGGCTCAGTGGAATAGAGTGTTGGCCTGCAGACTCAAGGGTCCCAGGTTTGATTCCAGTCAAGGGCATGTACCCTGGTTGCGGGCACATACCCAGTAGGGAGTGTGCAGGAGGCAGCGGATCGATGTTTCTCTCATTGATGTTTCTAACTCTCTATCCCTCTTCCTTCCTCTCTGTAAAAATCAATAAAATATATTTTTAAAAAAATAGGCACCCTAAAGCAAGATGTAGGCAGCACAGTACACCAAGCCAGAGTAGGATACATAAAAGGATCCACATTGATGGTTTTCACAAGTGTTTGTTAGGCATTTACTATGTGCCAGGCACCTTAGCAGGCAGTGGTCAAAACTATTTCCTTAGCTACACGGGTTAAGGGTTAGCAACAGAACTCTGGAGAAGAAAAACGCCAATTTTATTTCAGAACTCTGCATATTCTTATCATCTTATCAATGATTGAGCATAGTTCTCATTATTGACTCATTCTTTATTCAATCATTCTTGAATAAAGATCTGAGTTCAAGAACCCTTCTAGATATTGTAATACATAGATTCTACCATGCCGGCACTTAATCTCACTTTAGGGTCAGGATGCAAGTAAGAAGCCATCTCACAGAAGGTTGAGGAAATTAGCTTCTTTTTGTCTGGCTTGCCTTATGTGGCAAAGCAAGATGTAAAGCAAGATGAGATTCTGATAGTGCTCCAGAAGAATTCCATGTTGGCACATGTTGTATGGCAACACAGAAGGAATCTTTGGTTTTATCATAAATAACATAGTGTCGTCCTTGACTTACTAGTCTACATTTGAAACTTTTCCAGTGGCTGCAAATCCAAAGCACAGAAAGCATAAATTCCATCATTGCCATTAGTTTTACAAGGAATTCTTTAGTAGGGATTGGTTTGCATAATGACTTCTCCTTGGTCATTTTAAAATGTTACCATGTGCCATGCAACAGTTCTCCAACACATCCTTTTCACAAGTCAAAGTTCGATCCTCTGTAAACCACCCTGAGAATCTTTTAAGCAGATTGTACTTCAAATCAATAGAAATGAATTTTCTTTTAGTTCAATCATCGTGGATAAATCATGATATATTGCTTTGCTTTCCCTCCCTCCCCTGTCTGATTTGGTTGGAAAATTGCCTTGAGGACCTGTCATGAAGAGAGAAAAAGATCCTCATTCTTCTCTTATCCCCGTACTCATCGGTGAACTTCAGTGTTCTGCTCAGCTTTTATTCTTGTGGTCTTTTGCACTGGAGGACAGCTTATTGCTTCTTTAACTGAGTAGCAAGACAAGAGGATGTCATGCCAGAAACCATCTCTGAGTCAGATCTAACAGAATTTGTTAATAATTTTCACTTTAAAAAGGTGTCAATGAGTATTAATTTTGGATGACATATATTAGCACAGGCTTAATCACAACAGAATAGAGTTTTTTGATAAATATATATTATGAATTTAACT